AGGAGGAGGGGAGCTAGGTACGGAGGAAAAGGAAGGGGAAGTACAGAGGAGGGGAAGGGGAGGACGACGAGGAGGGGAGAGAAGGAGGGTGGGAGGGGAGGAGGATGGGAGGAGGGGGGTGCGGAGGTGGAGGGGCATACCCTCCCCTCCTCCTCAAGAGCTGCGCTCTAATTTCGCATTTCAGAGGTTTGTAAAAGTATTTCATTTTATACATTCCAAGTTGCTTGCGTCCAACTTTATCAGAGGCTGACGTTCACAGATCTGGACGAGCCTCCTTACGATGTTCGACATCAAAATAAGGTATATCGGAATCAATGTTCTGGTTCAACGTGGATATGCTGAGGTCACTTTTTTCAAAGGCTCGTGGAGATCCGTTCTTGTTTTGTCATATTATCTGTGAGCAAGTAGAGAAAAAGAGACAAGTTTATACAAAACACGTATGCACAAACTGTTTACTTCGAGTTGATCTTCATTTATTTTCGATGGAGTGAGTAAAATTTTGCCGTCCCTAAATTTGTCTTCTTTTTGACTTTCAGAAACATAATTTTTAGGTCTCCCAAATATACCTCTATGTGTATATTTTCACTACGATTTCCTACGTGCAGTCCAAAATTCCTTTCGCGGCATATTTCACATTTGGACTTGCAATTAAATAACCAAGATTGTCCTTGTGTAATACTCAGTGGCCAAATGCAATACCTCGACGCTAATTTTCCATCCGCATTAACCACCAAAAGTGAGTCTGCAGTTGTGTCCACTTTCACTGTAGGTATTTTCAAGCTTCGGGAATTAATCCTTTGGCCTCAGTTAGTGTAGCACTGACAGAAGCGAGTATCTGGACTCTGGAGCTGGCATCTGTCTCGGTTGAACGGCTAGACAGAAGCTTGACGTGCACTGAGGTACCACTCACCACACGCGAGGCAAGCTAAGAAGCGTCATTTGCTTGGTTTTGTCTAATAGGCAGTAGCTACTTTCTTTAAAAAAAGATTTCAACTGAATGCGACTTTTTGATGATAATGCAATTAATGCAAAGGTGCAAGCGAGCTGGACAAGAATAACGATCATGATCCCCGGAAAAGGGGGGCAAAAAGGGACAAAGGAGAAACACAAATCTCCAAACACAGCTAAATAACTGCAGCGCTACTGAAGAAAAAAAAAAAAAAAAGTCAGTCGCGAATTAGTCATTTAGCATTATTTGGAGATGTGTGTTTTTCCTTTGTTTTTCTTCTCCAGGGATTATTATCGCTATGCGACTTGCTTTGCTCTCTTTTCAACTCTGTCAGAATTTTCGCAATCTCCATGACGTCGTGTTTAGTTTATCGCCAGGAATTTTTTCTTCAAAGTCCCTGAGCACATCATCTTAGGAAAGAGCCCTCGGGCACGAACTTGAGCTCAACTCACCGACACAAGACGCAAAAAGTTTTCGTCCAGACGTGCGAAGCAATTCTGGTAGAGCACGTCACTATTCCCTTTTGCAGCGGCGCTGTAAGGGGATGAGGCTTAGCTGACGTCAGCAAATTCACGTTCATGTGCTTCACAGAGCGAAATGTTTGAGCATACGGTAAGGCGACTCGACCGATTCTGCAGAACGTCAGCCAATGATTAAACTGGGCACACGCAACCTCAAATATAAAAAAATATCTGGAGCAGGAGACTGGAACGCTGCAACACCACGTCTGGCAGATCTACAGCGTGCCTCCCCAGTTTTTTTTTGTTTGTTTGTTTTTTTCCGTAAAATTGAATTACAGATTGCCCAACGTTAATTCTCCGCCCGAATCTGGCGTTAGGGGTCCGAATCGACTGCCAAAGATTTAGCCCGGACTGTTATCTTATTCAAGAGTTATGTTTTTCTGAAACTTTTATTGGAAAATTTGGGGCCCATTTTTGGGGGCCCCGTGTTCCACAACTGGCGCCATAGAGCTCCATGCTCTGTCGGCCGCCATTTTCCCATTGAACATTTCAGAAAATGACATAGCTTTTAAATAAAATAATAACCAAAAATATACATCCGATAAATATTATTTATAAAAAATATACACGCCCAGTCAGTGGCGTCGAAAGTGCGGCCCGGGGGGGGGCGGGGGGGGGGGGGGGGGGGGGGTTTGTTTGCTTTATTTGTGGATTGCACTCGCAGACCTGGCGTACCACCACCGCCTTGGCAGTGATAATTTGATGAATACCTACGTCTTTGCAGAGCGAACCATTTTGTGTTATTCGTTGGTACACTGGTGGTCAACGCTTATTTTTGTCACAATTACGTATACTGTAATAAAGTGGTGTTTGTTTCACCACGATTAAATAGGTATTTAATGGCAGCTATTTGGCATAACCGCGAGTCCAGTGCGGACAATTTTTTAACATTAATGCGAAGAAGCAAAGAGCAGTGCACAGTGGCGCTCCTAATCAAGCAGCAGTGTGTCCTTTGTTGTTTCTTGGGTCTTTTAGATCGCAGATCGACAGAAACCAAGACATGGTAGGACCAGTAAGAACATTAAAATCCCATCTTATTCAATATGGACTGTTAAAGGCCTAGTTATTCATCTTTACATGGAAATAATATATAGCATATATAACTGTCCCCTGTTATATAATGCCTTTAAAACCGGGAATCCCATTTAAACGCCTGCACGTGAGTAAGACATGTTTAACTTAGACACTTTTTTTTTTTAAGTTGCTCATTTTATTTGACATTTGTTTGACTCATCAGTAGATTTGGCTGAACTGGTAACTGAAGTCTTACAACGCAATAATTTATTGCGCTGTAAATTTTTTTGTGACACCCTGTGCTTTAAAGGGATGCTACAACGAAATTTTGACGCTTATTTTATGGTCTATATGTGTTCAAAGGAGCAGTATCACATCGAACACACCAATATCTTGTTAAAAAGTAACGAAAATGACTTCTAAAACGAATTAAACGATTAGCAAAGAGCACCTGGTGGATGTCGCTGACGCCTCGTTTGTAATGCCCGTCTACGAACCTTGACAGCTAGTGACGGTGAGTGTCTCGCCTCCGGCCACGACGAGAGAAGAGGGGAAGGAGAAACTCCCGTCTTCCCGAGAATCCCTTTTCTGTGTTCCAGAAGTAGCTATTGTCCCCCTACAAGATTATAAAAGATTAACCCGTCTCTCAAAATTCGTACAAAAGCAGCCGCTTCGGTGGCTGGAACGACTAGGCCGTCCCCTCGACGTCAACCTCGCCGTAGCTTTGCTCGTCCCGAGACGACCTACGTCACGACTGCGTCAGATGTCACGTGCACTAAGCTGGGCCTTCTCCGAGCGCTTGCTTGAGTGGGCCGTTTATAACAAAAAATACAGCCACCAGGCTCAAAATACAGACGTGCGATTGTCATTTACGGATATTGTGGATCATATTCAAACTATTTTTGAACACGACGGATATATTTCAAATTTCGTTCAAGTATCCCTTTAATACCAAAGAAAAAACAACAGATAATTATAAACGCCTGCAAGATTTTTCCAAGTTCATTCCAGTACCAAGGTTCAGCTACTTCCCTGTTTTCTTTTTAATTGGCTTTAAGAAGTAAAGAAACTTTTGGCCAATTACAGCCCTCATTTTTTTTTAAATTGGATTAAACCTGCAATACCGTCAGGCGGTGCACGTACAGAGAAACAGTTTATTACCCTTTTTTGGCTCTCACTTAGAAATTGAGAACTTGCTCTTAAATCATTAAGGAAAGCTTGATAGTGGGAAACATATATCGATACTTCGGCACTCGCTCTGGAGAACTAAAGTCAGTGCCAGAGATACTCTGATTTTTAGATTGCCTACTCGTGTTTGCCAGTGGTGTCACGCCACAGGAGTGTGCGGAGAAATTCGAATGTTGGTTTTGTCATCGTGCCTTTATTTGCCGTTCTCTCAATAGCTATTCGGAATTTCAAGATACTAAATGACACGCCGGGAAGAGTAAAACCTGGGTAGTTAGAAAATGTAGTTTGCTTCAACAGCTCAACCAATCGGCAGAGTACCCTTACAGGGACACTGACAAGGTATTTATGCTCGCGAAGGTTTTTATTTGCATATGATATGTGAGAGCCCAACTACCCAGAAAACAATTCGCAACTCGAAATTCGTTCCCTTCCGGCCTGGAAACCGCCGGTCGAGAACTGGCCGGTTTCACACTCGCTCTCTTCTCTGCGGTCATGTGCCGTTTTCTATGGTTTAGACACAACCACCAAATATAATCAAAGTCGTGGGTCATCGAAAGCACACACACAATATTAAAAATAGAAAATAAGATACTCATTTCTTGTGGCTTCTAAAAAACTGAAAAATACGTCGATTGGAGAAAAAGAATGTTGCACAGTCACGTGACTTCCGTCAACTCTTTCCTTTCCCAGTCCAGTTTCGAGCAGCTGCGTTTGTTGACTTTATTAAAAAGATGTGACTTTGTACCAAAATATTGAATGGGTAGTCTTCTGACACCATAATAAATCACCTGGCAAGAAATAAAAAAAATTTTTTTGTGAGTGTCAGTCTCTTTAAGCGGCTTTCCAGTTTATGGGAATCTCCCATTAATATTACTTTCACGAAGCCTTCTCCGTCTAGAGACACTTCAACTCGCACGGAGGTAAACCACAAAACAAATTCGACCTTAAAGCTAAGGCTATCAAAAAGCACGAAATCTTCACACATCTGATAATTTCTGGTTTTACAAAAATTCCATGCACCCAGCTTTGTGGCGGGTTTGCTGCGACTTTAAAAAAATATCATCGCATCTCCGCTGATTGACAAAATGGGAACTCCGGATCATCGGTCATTCTTTATTTTACCCACTTTCAGTTTCTGAGTACAACCTGGACTTGGAAAAAAAAAAAAGGATTTGGCGGTTTATTTTTAGAATATCTTAGTGAACACCAAAGTTTCCGATAATTGCCCCAATCGCATATTGGTTTCGTTTTGATTACGGTTTCCAAAAACATTCCACCCTTCGAGGGTGTGACTCCACCTTGAATAAGAACATCACCACACACAGACGGCCACTTTAACATCCGCTAAACTACCAGTTTTATTTTGTACCTGAACTACACAGCTCCAATTCGAGTGTGCATCCTCTACAAGATTACAGGGTCAACAAGGAAGATAAAATATCTCGCAGATAATAAAAACACGCTGTCATTGATCTCAACAAGAAAAGAAGGTGTAAACATGCTGCGACTAGATTGGGTTTCCCTCAAATGGTTGTAATCATTGTAACATTGAACAAAAGAAAAGCAAAAAAAAAAAAAAAAAAGGTATGACGATAATACGCAAACTTGCAAGCAGTTGTACCACCAAGATGCTCAAACAAGCAGCATCGGCACCTTCGGCATTCTGTGATGCATGTGGCATATCCTTCAGTGTCACTTAAAATGCCCTAAAATGGCTCATCACTGCAATGAACCAAACAAAAATCGAAAAGGAAAACACCTGCCATGCCTTGTCAGGGTAGTGCAGCATTTCCGACAGTTTCCTTACACAACGAATCTTAGTGCAACGCGTTGAATGGAAAAAACACAACCATGCTCAAATGTTGGACATAAACATAATGAAAAAGCAAAAAAAAACACAACTTAAAAAAAAAAAACTCGCGGATAATAGCAGCATAAATGAAGAATATAACAGGAACTCCTGTCATTGTAAACTTGGGGTCCAATGAAATAAGGCTGCCTAAAAAGAAAGAATTAATTTGTGGTGCACAGAAACAAATCAAACAAACAAGCAAAATGTACTGCTGCATACAAATATGACACATGCTTGTCGTGCCTGCATACGCTAGAAATAGCTGCTTCGCATCACTGAACTCCAGGGAAAACAAAAATAAATTCTGTCTCCATTACTCGAATTCCAAGCAAGGCCTTTGAACATTCCACATTTTTGTCGATCAAAACATAGCACCCTCTTTTTACCAACATATATGCTAACACAATTAGCAAAGGAGCTATGCTCAAAAAGCAACACTCTGGCATGACACAACAGTGAAAGCAAAAATGGCTTCAGTCTAACATCAAGACACTGGAAACGCTAGCCATGGCATCCGTTATAACTAGTCACTGCAGTTTTCTTTATATCTGGACAGGTCAACAAGGCTATAAATGCCATGATACTTTGAGGAATAGACTATGCTATGAGAAAACCTGTAGGAATTCATTTCACTGTGCACAGACGACATAGAGTAATCAAGCTCTTTGCAATGGTAAAAATGTGACTTGGTAACAACAAATAAGGCTTTGCAAATGACCATGCCTTCCAGAAACCTGCTACAGAACTTAGGATCCCCTAAGCCTATAATACTGTTGTCATAATAAAAGAATGGGATATTAAATCTTAAAATAAGTTCTTTTTTATATAGTACCTTTTGCAAAATAATTTCTTGCAATGTACAAATAAACATTGAATTACACGTAAACATTGTAAATGCTCACATTCTTGAGCATATGATTTGTAGCCAATGTTTTCAACGGTTGATGTTGTCATCATGCATTTTCAGAACCAGAATTGAGTACTATATCCTTAACTAACCTATCAAAGCAATCTTAGTAAAATACTATGATCCTACTGAGAACATTGATAGTCACTTCTACAAAAGACTGAGTAGAAATTAAAGAAACATAAGTGCAGTGCAAACATTTCTGGTGCAATATTGTGTACGTCGGCCACAAAGGCAGTCACTGAAAATCCTGCAAGTATTCTGAGAGGCAGTCAATCAAAGGCACTCCTACAGCAACGGATACTTTGCAGACCTCGGTAAGAATTGCTGCACAATCTTTGTACTGACAAGCTTTTAAAATTCTCGAGCTTGGCACATGTTCGGACTGAAAAACAATATGACTCCTCGATAACTGCAATTGTAGCAACAGCAAACACAAAGACTGCTCTTGAAAAGAATGCTACCTGCACTATAAATGCTCCAGCAAATATGTTTAGAATTGATTGCAATGTAAGCCAGTTATAAGCAATAACACAATATGAAATGAAAGCATCTGAATAGAGCTCCATGCTTGGCATCCTAAGCTTCATCTCTTTGCGATGTTAAGAGTTCCGAAATTTGAAATAATACATATCAAAGGGGTTGTGTAAAATACCCTCCACAGATTGTAAGTTTTCACCTCACTATAATACATTTTAGCATGCAATACATGAGAAACCTCCAAGTGGATGATGAAGCTCTATTCACACCAGCAAAATGATTTTAAAGAATACTCATTCATTTTTATAAGGCACCTAGCTTTATGTGCTACTAAAATGAACGAACTTATTAAAGAGTCATTCACTGTCTCCCAGCTGGCCTTTCTTCAGACATTCACACGTGCCTCAAGAAAATGCACTTGCATATGAAAATAGCACATCCACATCTTTTTGCGAAGAAAATTTTACTACAAGTCTGGATGACCTTTTACAAGCTAAGGTAGGTGGATGGTAACATTCTACTGGACATTCACTTACTCTAGCCTTAGCCTGAAGCCACTTTGCTATTGAGACAGAAGAGTGCTTAAGCTATGCCTAGGGGCTAGCTGTTATGTTTGCAACAGTTTGTAGGGAGAAAGAGCAGACATTTCAGCTTATGTCAATGCTGCTGGGGAAAAAAGGTACAAAAATTTATAACAGAGGCAATATTTGACTCATCAGCAAGGTGTTTATAATGCCTGTGTCTATGAGAATGAACGGCCCAGAATCGCTAACTTGTCTAGTGGTATGACATTAAAATTCACTTAGCAAGTGTGAAGGATCAAGCAGCCAAAATGCTGTGAAAACTACCACTGCTAAGAGTAGGATCCTGAATGGCCAGTAAGCTAAGCTTATAAAAATAATTCATATTGCATTCACAAAAATTAACAGCAACAAAAAAAAAAAAAAAGATGGTAAGTTAAATTTTTAAAGGCATTGCAGGGATGGGATGAATGTGAAGTGATCTAAAAACAAACTTCAGTAGAAGAGTGCAGTAACGTTGAAAAAGCAAAATGAACCCCAGAGCATGCATACAGTATTCTGAAAAAAGCAAGTGACCAGAACATTGCACATTCCCTCCAGTTGGGGCACTTAACTTACAATATTGTAGACAAAAAAGACCGGGAAGCAGCAGTAGGAAGAAAAAAGGGTAAAAAAACAGAATTTATGCTGCAATAAACTCCAGGATAAGCATTTTAAAATAAAACAAAAATAATTATGATAAAACAAATTTAAATGCAGTCCTGGCTGTAGTGTCGCCCCCCAAAACTCGTTTTCTGTGGCATCCCGAATTATTTGGCATGCCACAATTCTCTCGTCCAGCATCATCGGGTTATCCACTAATGCCGCAACAGCTTGCGAGGTTTGTACAATTATCCCCCTCAATGCACACACAAGTCTTCGACAGTCGCAAAACAGAACACATGACTGCTTTGAAAATACATAACCCATTTGACTCACAGAGTCAGACACACGCACACACACACACCCAAAGTGGGTAGCCGTGTTAGAAGAGTAATGTTGTTAAGAACACAAGTGTAACAACAATAGAATATAAACTGCCATGTTATAACATAATATACAGAGAAATCATACTAGTACAACATTAAATATTAAAGCTGCAATTCCTTTTTGTCGTTTTAGTTGTACCTATGAGCCACCTCGAATCGCAGTCCTCAACGACATAAAAAAGAGGTGCATTTGTTTCCTCCAGTGACTTTTCGGAAGAACCCGTGTTTCCAGAAATGTTAAGGGGCTTCTTTGAAACGCAAGCTGGCTGAGTGACTTTGAAATCCTAATGCTTGCACAACGGTAGTAAACAATAACTAAAAGGAAAAACGAATGAACAAGCACGGAACGTGGCTCTTTCTTTGCTGGATTGTGCACAAATTATGCGAGTGAAACACACCACCTGGCTCTTCTAGCTTGGCAAGGCGGACATATATATCCCTTCTGCACAGAACAGAATCATTTTCCAGCATTGACATATGTCCCCGAATGTCGTGGTTTTAGCCACAGCGTCTTGGAACTGCGCGCCACGTTTCTTTTGCAGACGGACGATTGAGGTGATGAAGCAGTGTGACATAGCATTGTCGATTCACTGAAACAGAACAGAAGAAAGGGTTTATGTCTTACACAAATGAAAAAAGAAACCTGTGAACCTAAGAAATACTACATATGGTCACATGTATTACAATTTCCTTAACAATTTTGTTTTAGGATATTTTAACTTTTTAACAGAAATTCCCGGTAGCGCTTTCTGCCTGGCAGAAACCCCCTTTCCAATGCCCTTCCTTCCATTCCTGCTCACACCCCTTCCTCGTCTTCACCCAAAAGAGTGGGTCTGGATGGGAGCCTGCAGAAAGGAGAGGTTTCCTCCTTTCAGCTTGTTTGTCAGCCTTTAAACTCCTTCAGCCTAAAAGGACATCTTTCTGAATGAAAAATTAGCTGCTTTTCAGAGGTCAGCACACACTGACACCACATTCGAGCTGGCTGGGTGGCAGCATGTAAATACTAAGTGCAGCCTAAAACCAGATGACAGATTATGGACTTGTCTAAGCAGGTTACTTTACTTTGTTTTAACTTACAATAGACTACAACAGGTGTCACAAGCCATGTTAGTCAACTCCATTGTGTTGTCTGCATGGCACAGACAAGCACAACAAGAGGGTTACATGACACACACCGAGCTGTGGACAGGCTCCGGAGTTTCGAAGTATCCGTTGTGATCCGTCGTAAGGGGAAACGGAGCACAAGCACAAAGTGAAGTGACACACTGCTTAGGCTGACACCTTTATAGATGCCCCTAGAAGCCATATTTCTGATGTTTTATTGGCCAAACTATTCCAGCAAAAAACGATGCATTGCTGAAAAAAATTATTTGAGCCACATTGGTCACTGCTGAGGAGCCAACTTAGTGAAGCATGTGTTGTTTAGGATAATGAAGTCCTTAATTAATTAGCTGCACATAATTACCTCTATGACTAGTAAAGATAAAATTATCCTTCCAATCAGAAACCTACTGCTAAGTGTTATCAAAAACTACTCAATCACTAAATTTTAAAGACTTGGAGCACTTAGAAAGATTGGTAGTGCACAGAAGTTACCACTTGTGCTACAGGCACAAGGCAGGCAGAGCTAAGATAGTGATGATAAGAAACGGAAAAAGTGCTTGGGTGCATCGAAGTTGAATTATTTTTTGGACCCACAAAAACTTGCAGGGGTCACCAGTGTAGTGACGTGAGTCGGTTCTCTACTAATATATATAACTTATTTAAACTGATTTACATTCCTAAATTTAGAGTATTTATTGTAGAGGGTCGCCACAAACTAAGCATTAGCTCAAGATCTTTCTAAAACAGCTGATCTATACCCGTTTTCACCTCAAGAAAAAGCAAGTTTTGTGAATTGTTCATATGCAGCGTGAAGTAGTTTTTACAAGATTTGGTTGGTGGAGGAAAAAGCAATGCTTTTGGCATTTGGAACGTGTACGTCTTGATAAGATAACATACATCTAATCTAAATTGCACCTACATATATCTTAATTATCGTCATGAAGGGGGAAATTCGTAAGGCTCAGTGAGGAGCTGGTTTTTTTTACTACAATTTTGAGGTGAAAACGGGTATAGTGGTTTTTGATGGTGCCCACCAAGTTCCTCTTTGAAGCTACCTATTTGTTTCCACTAACCCTGGTGTAAGATATTTACACAAATGTAGACACCGAGCGCGTCGCAGCTGCCAGACAAAGTCCTCCCCCTCGCCTTGGTTGCAAGCGGCGCCGCCAGATGACTTTCCGGTATGCGGCTAGTGGCAGTCTGTCGCGAGCCCAGTTTCCCATGCATCTCTATAGGAGACTCGCCTGTATTTAACATTGTTTTTTGGGTGCCCCATGTCATGCAGAACTTAGTACTTGCGCTATGCGTGTTGCTTAGACACTGACTTGTCACTACCCTAGTTTTGTCCCTCAACAGCGGCGATAACAGTCTTATAAACACGTTTTTTTGAGGCGGACAGATCTCTGGCACAGAGCTCAAGCGACCGTCCTTCAAGATAAGAGCAGACGCACCGAACAGAAAGAGCGTGCGCCCAAGTGCCATAAACACAACTTTTTTATTTTTATATTTTTCTCAGTTGCGTTGCTTGGACGGCAGAGACGCTGATGGCTAAGGCTATTCGGGCACCCCCAATGGAACTTTATCTAGTTCATCATGTGCAGCATTCGCCGTGTTGTGTGCCCTCACCTATAGAATATCTTATACTATGCCACTAGGAAGACAATTATGAAAATCTAATTTAAAACTTAATTATCCTAAATTCCATGTATTTCTAAATAAATAGGCCCCCTTGACAATGACAGACGCAGTACTTATCTCATTTATGTGCGATGCGTAACTTTCAGCAAACATTTTGGCTGATGTTCAGTGCAACCGCCAGTATACTTGCATAGTATAGTAAGGCATGTGAAGTTTACAATTTCCAGTACTATCCTTCCCCCGAAACGAAAACATAACACGAAACATTAAAATTTCATTCAATCGACGATGCCTCTTCCTGGTTATACAGTGAAACCCGTTTATAATGAACAGCAGGAAACGCTACGATCAGTTCGATATAGCAAGTAGTTCGATATAGCAAAACCCAGCTACGATTTCCCGACGATTAAATATCGATCTTTAAATCGCTGCAGCCACCCAGATCCAGCGGTGAAGCCCTCAACGTTCAGGAGGGATGCAAAATCTCTAGCCTTGCTTTGCAACATCGGTCCGGAGACCGGCAGGTTCCGCGCACAAATGTCCAAAAACCATTGGTATAGTGCTTTTTCCACCTTGTCGTACGCCAGCTTGCGGATGCGCCTGCTGTCCGCGTTCGGCCGTTCACGGGCCTTGTCTCGAATGGCAGACTTGTTTTTAAGAATTGTACTCAGCGTACTTCTGGGGATCTTGTAGGCGGCGGCAACGTCTGATTTCTTTTCGCCGTGCTCCACACGACTGATGATGTCGACCTTGTCAGAAAGTGGCAGAGCCTGCCGCTGCTTCGTCGTCATTTCGCTCGCGAACTAGCTGGCCCGCATAGTGAACAGAAAGTGCAATGGGGACAAGAAAGACGTCAACAAACGACGACTAAATTAACGAGAAGAAAGGAGGGAGGGAGAGAGAGAGAGAGAGAGCTTTGCCTGTGGTGGACGCTTTTAACGGCATGTGACAATGATATGGAATCTGAAATGCGATATGCTTATTGCTTCTTGGGGCATGGCGTGTCAAGCCCCAAGTGAACGCGCAAGGTGAGGAGGGTCAAACTAGAGTGCCTTCAAGTTCTCTTCGGCGGGACATGAAGGCCCCCTAGGTCAAACTGAAGTGACTTTAGGTGAAACAGGGTGCAAAGGGAGAGGAGGCGAAAACGTCTCTTTTTTTCTTATCTCTTCGCTTCCACCTTGTAACAACCCGCTAGAAAGATTTTTTTTGGCTTATCTTCTTTTTTAAATTGCTTTTCTTCGTAAGCAACCGCTTTGCACTTAAAAGATTTTTTTTTTTTTTTCTGTGCCCCTTTGGAATCGCTTTTCTTCACTTATTTTTGTTTGCAGCTCGAGCTTTTGGAATTTTGTTTTCCTACACTTTTTCGGGCAAAGGCATTGGCTGAGAGACGGTTGTTTGCGCGTTTTTGGAAGCCTTCCCAGGGGAAAAAAAGTTTGATATAGCCAATATGTTGTTCGTTATAAAAAGTACTTTTTACATACATTTTGATTTAAATTTTTCGTGAGTTCGATGTGGGTTCGTTCTAAACGGGTTTCACTGTACAGGGTGTCCAGCAAATTATTATTTTGAAATTCCCTGACTTTTCCAGGTTTTCCCTGACAATTTCAGGTGAAATTCCCTGACCATTGTAGAGGAAGTTAAATATATAAGACCATTACAACACAAGGCATTTTTTTATTAAATAAAGCACAATATTATTCAGCACAAATTAGGGTATCCGACTAGATTGTCTAATATTGTACTAAGTTTATGCAAACAAAATCTGCTCTTGCTACTTAAGAATGTCAGTTATTCCACAAAAATTGTCCAAGCACACATCTTACTTCTTAAAGGAGCCGATTTTTTCTTGCAGGAGACTGGCCTCCAGTAGTGATTTGCGGAGCAGCCTTCGCTTCTGTTCTTCAAGTTCTTTCACAAGAGCGGCCACTCTTTTCTTGTTTTTCTGAACATCTGACTCCTCCCAACTTTCTTCCTTCTTTTTCTGCTATTTCTCTTGAAAGACGCTGTAGGAATTGCGAACCATCCGCACTATCTTGTCAGTAATTTCAACCTTGTCCACGCCGCCTGCTTCCAGTACAGCATCGTGTACTACTTGCAGCGCTATGAGCGTTTCTTCTTTCAAGTTTTCAACAATGCACTCTTTGTTGACTGAGAAGCCTCTTTCTACAGCAGCATTGCAGTGAGACAAGCATAGAATGATCTTGATGAAAGACAACAGCTCTTTGTGATCATGGGAGCAGAGATCTAGCCACAGAACGTACAGCCTCTCTTCTTTCCTGTCAAAATCTTTCAGTTTCTTCTAAGCAAGGCCCAATGAACAGATCTGTACATAGGAACGATGGACCCGTTCTGCTTGTAGACCAGTTAGCCACTGGCCTTCTGAAAGTACTTCAAGTGCGAGGGTCAGTCGTTTGCGGTCAGCCTCCGGAGACAATACGAATGCTGGATCCAAGCAGCTGGCACACCTAGTTAGTTTATACTTTAACGGTGACCTCTCCATCACTTTTCGGGAGCACACCTTATTGAAGGAAACATAGCCTTTCTTGAATTTGAGAAAGGTGAGCTGTGGTAGCTTGGGCACTTTGCGAAGCTCGTTCTTTGTGGCAAACCCAACGTCAAAGGCGGCTACAGCTATACAGTTCTCGGGTTTTTGCTACTGAAGGTTGATTTGGGACACGCCCCAAATCAACCTTCAGTAGCTTAAAGGGCGTTTCCGCAGCATTCAGGATTTCCTTCTCAAGAATTCTTGCAAGCAGCGATCGTAGAACGTCATGCAGTGTCGTCGAAAGAAAGGGAACCGCTGGCTTGTCGGTCTGAAATTGTGCCAAAAACGGCTCCAGTTCTTCAGCAATCGACAGCATGAAAGCTAGTTTTGCCGGCAACAGCTGATCACCGAGTGCGTTCACAACGGCGCTGTACCTGGAGCATGTCAGTCGCTTGTTTGCCTTTGTTGAGCACTCTACGAACTTTGCAAGTTCGGGAGAACTTGTAATGCCCTGGTGATGACCTTGCCGTTTTTGAGCCACCTTACTGCACAGAACTTAAGAGGAAATAGTGTATTCCCGGTGAAGTTGGCATAATCAGCACAATGAGCAGGCACATATTTCAAGAGGTTCTAGCTGCTGCGAAGAAATGCTTCTACCTCCCAACCAGTTGCAGCATGGCCTGCCTTGTATGCACCATTGATTACGTGCAGTCCACAACTTCCAATGTCCAGAATATTGTGGCTCTCGTCCGATTCCTTCAGTTCTTCCTTCAGCGACTTTAGAAACTTAGGGCCATTTATAAAAACTTGTAGTATCTTCGCTTGCTTGATCGGTTCTGTGGCCTCCGTGAATGCTGATGCCAGGTCCTCCGCACAGGTGTGGTCCAGGAAGCACGAAGTGAGGTACTGCGTCTTCACAGTGCCACTGGTAGTGTCCCAATATCGGACAAGCACATCCATCTGTTGCTTCTGAGTCACTTTGTTGAGCGACACGTCAAACGAAACGACTACAAATGCACACTGGCGAGGATTGTTAGCAACTTATTCCGAAAGTAGGGCGCAATACTATGGCAGATGGTATATCCTACCTTGGTCTTCCCTAAAGTAAGTTTTGCAGCGACTTCACACGCGGGAAACATGATAGGGAAGAGTGAGGCCGATGCTGCTGTAGAACGAAGGGATCCGTGAATCGCTACCGAGTTTAAGTACCAAATTATCTCAGCCTTTGTCACAGCGCTCTTCAGTAGAAAGCCGCTCATCGACGTCTTCACACTTATTGAGGTGACTGCAGGCTCCTCCAGGGCACATGTGCGGTCTCCGCCACATCCGGTCGAAACGTTCGTTGCTGCCGTAAAAAATGACAGAAGTCCAGATTGGAAACGGCTTGACTGCGACTTCAAAGCAGCAAGGTGCTTTTTGCTCGATGCACGACTGGAAATTGCCGTGTTTACCATGTTGCTCAAAGAAAACGTTTTGCGGCACACTGAGCACTGAGCACTGTGAGGATCACTTTGCATGAACTTAATCCAACTTGCATATTCCGATATATTTGGATTCGTCCAGTCCGGATTAAACAAGCACTTTCTTGCCACCGACATCGTCAACGAAGAGGCCACTTCCGGAAAAACGATGGAAACATGACGCTCAACGACACATGTCAATAACCGAATGTATGGCTGCATCCGACAGTATCAGATATTTTCGGATTGGATTGGATTGCGGTCTGTGGCTTTCCCATTTGTTACTAAGTCTAGTGGCTTTAACTGAATATAGCCTAGTGTCATGCCCTTAATCCAATCCAATCCAACGCATGGCTTGGACTGAATTTGTCGGCTGTTCCCTTTGCATCGGGTAGCACACACTACATTCGGTCAGCAGAGCCTGCGTTCCGCTCTAAGCAGAATTTATTGCCTATTTTTCTGTCCCCAAGTCGTCGAGCCTTTGCTCAGAAAACTTGATAGCCTTTTTGGCTCATTTTCCCTGACTGGGCTCGCTTTTTAACAATATCCCTGACAATTCCTTGATTTTTCCCGATACTTAAAATTTTCCCTAACAATTCCAGGATTTCCCGGTCGCTAGACACCCTGTTATACCTACTACAATGTCCAGGTCGAAAATCAGCTTGCGTCATGCGGAGTGAATTTGAGAATCAATATTTTAGTATGGCAACGCAACCAGTGGAAGACATCTTTTGGGTGCAACTTCCAGACATACGTACTAGCATCCCATTGCTGCAAGCAGCTTGAAGCTACGGGTTCCTCTGCAGACGCCTTCCATACTCCATTTCGTGTTGGGGTTGAGTGCAACCGACACTACGAGACATGAGCCAATCCAGAGTGCGAAGCATTTCACGTGACATCATGGTCGGGCGGAGCGACGCCGGCAACACGAAGCCAAGTGGCACGCACGGAAAGCCGGATTAGCTAATGCGACTCGTAACGTCCATTGCGGCACGCCCTAAAGGGAAACGGAGTACGGTCAGTGCGTGCCAAGAAGGGAGGGGGCAAAGGAGGGCTCCTCACCAGGGACGCTCATATCCGTTCGACGTAGTTGCCGGGGAAAGTGCCGAAGAGGCCCGACCGGAGGGAGGTGCCAAGGTACCAGCCATCGTCGCACTTCTCCATCACAAACACCGTGTCACCCTCAAACAGCTCCAGCTCGTCGTCGTTCTGGGGCTTGTACGTGTACAACACTCGATACCTGCACAACGACGGAGGTTCATAAAATACCGAGCGTGCACTCGTGTCGCAATGAGTGCCCACACTCTACTTTCTGAAGCATTTGGAACATAAGTGAAGGACGTACCGAGTGCCTTGTCTCAAGAATGGCTGATTAGTCGTTGAACGAGTAAGTTTATTGTCAAAGTTAATATACAGAAAATTTACGCTGCAACTGGTACTCAAACAAATTTTTGGTCCCCCTTGAGTTCGAACTAATGAGATTCGAGTGTTTTTGCCAAAAATTACCCAAATGGCTAGTGTGTCCCGCATGTTGTTGTTTTTATAGTGAACAGTATTGGTGGTATGCCACAGAAAACCCACGTATGTACTTATCCAAGTCTTAACTTTTAGTTAATACAGCTTGGGTCAGCAATAAAAATGTTCATCGGTTCGCTTGGCATTAGAAGTCAAGGAAACGGAATCAAGTTGAAGACATGCCACCATAGTTGGAGCGTAATGCATTACGTAACTTGTAGATGATACCAACAATGGGCAAGGTTTATTGAGAAAAACTTAAAAAGTGTTCATGCTTGATTCTGTATGTAAACACATAGCTTTTTTAGACAAACACTACAACACTCAAACACCAAAAAGCACTAATGACATGGTGATTACTTATTGATATGTAAAGCTGAACACCAGCCAAAAGTTTAAAATCTGGAGCACTGGCCTATGCTTTTTACTGGGTTCAATTTCATACATTCTTACAGGGTATTATGAGACATCTCTCATGAACACTAGGGAAAGGAGAATTTCCCAATAGTCCTAAGAGATAAATTTATTAACCAACTGATCATTCCTTCATATATATATTAAGAGACATCATGTGACACTGCATAACAGAGGAGAAAAAAGCAAAGAGAATACTAGGCATCAATAATAGTCTTGTAAGGTCAGAACTAGTCTAGAGCACAAGTCCTCCGACCAATGAAGTTCTCAATGCCCTAACATATTTTGCCAGGTACTGTGCTCACCTTAAGCGGGAATAGGACCTAGGAATTCCAAATTTTGAGAAAAAAATGTTTTTTTTAGAAATGTTATTTCATGTTTATTAACTTCCAAAGAATCGTTTCAGAAACTTTAATTTAGAAACATGCAAGATTTATTGCACAAAAAATTATTTCTGGCATGCCGGCAGCCTTTTGAGTCAGCGGGAAGCAAATTTTTACAGTTTTAATTAGGGCTACTCCCCACCTCATTGGAAGCACCATTTAGCCTGCATTTAGCTTGTAGAAGCTTCCCAAGTTTAAAGGTATCAATGGCCAGGAGAACTCCATACATACAAACAGAAAAAAAATGTGGAAAATGTGGTATGAGGAATCTTGTTGATTGAGACCGCAACGGGGCTTGTGATTAGTCCTGCCGGTGACGTGATATTGTGTCTTCAGCAGCGCCTTTTGACAGTATCTTCCACTTCCGATCATACTGCTAATTTGCCGCTCTTCTTTAGTATCACTTGCCTCAGTTCTTAGCAGTTTATATGCCAAGGAATGCCTGCTACCAAAGTTATAGCTTGCCCACAAATGATGCAAGCTGCTAGCCGCTGCCAGGGGAACAACAAAGTCTCAGAGAGGAAAGTGCTACCTATGCTCCAGGTGAACTTTGTGTGCCTCGGACTCGTAAGAAATAGAAAGCCCTAAAGTTGAAACTTTAAATGCATTGTTCTCAGTTTCACTTTTTGGCAGGAAATGTTGTACTATGGAGGAAATACTATATCATTTGATGTTTTGAAAATGTAAAGCCTTAATTAAGGCGTGTCCAGGACTGAGATTACCAGATGAACAAGTTAAGGCACTCATTATCTGAGATAAGAAAAAAAAAGAAAAACATAAAACGAAAACAGAAACAGAAAAAACTCCCTTTTTTTATGAAAATCATAAAAATACTCGCGCGAAAGACAAAGGACAAGGGAGGACAGGACAGGACAAGCGCTTGTCCCGTCCTGTTTTTCCTAGTCCTTGGTCTTTCGCGCTAATACTTTTTACGATGTTCAACCAACTAGGTCACCAACTTATTTTGTTACAATTTTTTTATAATGAAAATTGAAGATTTTAAGACACTAATTTGTGAAAATATCTTGTTCATCTTGGGTGGCATTGTTTTTCTCTAGAATTGAATTTTTTATAATTCATTTTTATCTTAAGTTGCACTATGGGTATTCCACTGCATATCAAACTACAAATTTTGTAAGTTACAATTACTCTTGTTAATATATTTCCTAATTACCGTAATACACTGCGGAAGTGCCCTCTTCATTCAAGCGCCCACTACTAACATTTTCCAAACTGGGGAATTCTGCAACTTGTACGTTAAGCGCCTGATTTGACCACACAAGCGTCCACATCTAGAATAACCCAGTTATCAGTGAAAACGGGGTGGCTGCTCTCCTGGTATTTTATGGTAAGTCACTTTTTGCTGGAGCTTAATAAGTAGCATGGTGTAGAATTGGCCTATGAAACAAACTTTAGATGCCATCATTCTTAATTGAAATCTATTCACCCTGAAGATTCTTATAAGTTTGAGTGAAGGGTTTAGGACATATCCCCACTTGGATACTGAATCAAAAATTAAAATACTATACCTCCCACATTCAGAAAAGAGTTAACCCTATCAACTCAATCTCCTAATGACGATCGGCGTATTTTGAATGGATGGCTATATTTTCGGTTCCAAAGGCCTGAAAATCTGCTAAACACGCCAGCAAACATTGCTGAAACAGTACCCCAAATACGAGGCAAAATGTATTGTTTTTTCGCGAAAATTTTTGAATTTACAATTTGCCTTGTTTTTCAAACTGAAAGTCTCTACTGGCAATCAGAGAAAAGTGACACCAGCAGCAGGCAGGAGTTCACTCTTTGGACTGTAGGATTTGTTCCCAACTGATTCCAAGCAATTTCATGGTGTCAAATGAATGCTTTCAAAGCTCGTTCCAGCACCCATGCAGCAGCGCAAAACAAATTTTCTGCATCATCCATCTATTATACCATATTTACTCGACTAATAGCCGCACTGTTTATGAAGAAAACCTGAGGGTTCGCTTTTCTGCGGTGCATGGAGATTGCCAATCACTGCGATCCACAGCATGATTCCAGCTGTTTATAGGACAGAGATAACGTCTTCGTGCAAAGATATTATCTGTGAAGATTGCATTAGTATGGAGAATCATGTTCTTGATCTGGTTATTCGCTATGTTATTTATGTGCAACGCAATGATTGGCTGTATATGTGTTCTGTGGGAAAGTAGACGCAAGGGTCTTGTTCATAAATAGTGCGGCTGTTACTCGAGTAAATACAGTAGACAGCTTGCTCGACTGGCAAGCCTGCCAATGGCATCGTGGCACTGAAAAGCGCAGGTTTATTTAAATCTTGGTGTTGGCATCATTTTCATTTGCCGATTTCACAATAACTATTCTGAATTTTGCGATACTAAATAGCGCAAAACGGAAAGGGTAAAGGCCGGGGATTCTGAAGATGCAGTTAGTTGGGGTGGGTGAAAAAATTGCCGAAGTACCCCGGGCTCTTAAACAGATTTTATGCTGTATGACTTTCATCACTTCAATATGAATTGGGATCTCACACAGAATCAGTAACATCATAAACAAACAAAACAAGAGCAACACTGAATGAGAACTCACGAGATGGGCTCATTGTGTGCATCCACATGCAGGCTGCTGGTGGTCGGCTGCTTGAGACGGGTCTGCAGCGACTCCTGCTGGAAAACAGAAGGGCAACAACTGCCAGTTAGAAGCAAGCTAGCAGGCAGAACAGAGTATAATATGCATTAAGAAGACACTTAAGCTAAGGTTTAGTTTTATAGCTGCAGCAAACAGCATAAATTCTAAGTTCTACTCTATATATATGAACAATCTTTTGCTTGACTGATTAAATGTTAAGGTGAACCAATCATATCGGTAGCACAACTGTATGAAGAAGCGTGTGTGGTATACACCGGTCTCTTGTAGCTGTGTGTGTCGAGTTAGAGTAAGACACCACGTCCTTCTCTCAGCACTTTGGCAAAACTGGTGATTTTGGTCATTATCTTTAGCACGCTCTCTATCCGGAGAAAATACCATACCGTATTTACTCGCAGAATGAACGCACTTTTTTTTTTTCCCGAAAAATCAATGCAAAGTTGGGGGGGGGGGGGGGGGGTTCATTACGCGAAGTAAAATTTTTGCATCTGTATTTACTGGCATAATGAACTGACCTTTTATCCTGAAAAATCTAAGTAACTTCTTATCTCTTTGCGCGCGGCGCCCGACCTCCTAACCAAACTAAGCTGTGCAAAAAAAAAAAAAAAACTCCTGTTTTTTTTTAGTTCCTTGGGGTTTTTTTTTTTTTTTTTTTTTTTTTTTGCTGCTTTTCCCAATCTGTTTTGTTTGCTTAGGTGTTGCTTAGGCGAGGGCTCTCCGCTTATCTCCTAGCGCGCGGCGCGCGACGCACGACCCCCGTAACCAAACTGCGCCGTGCAAAAAAAAAAAAAAAAAAAGCTCTTCTTTTTTTTTTTTCTTAGTTTCGTGTTTTTTCTTTTTTTTTTCTTTTTGCCTCCTTTCGCAAGCTGTTTCGTTTGCTCAGAGGGCTTCTCCGCTCCTCTTTTACTCCTTGCGCGCGGCGCGCGAACCCCCAACCAAACTGCGCTGTGCAAAAGGTGTTTTTTTTTTCCTTTTTTTTTTTTTCTTTTTGCCGCCTTTCGCAAGCTGTTTCGTTCGCTTAGAGCGCTTCTCCGCTTCTCATTCTTACGTCATTGCGCGCGGCGGCGCGCAAACCCAAAATCCAAACTGCGCTGTGTAAAAATAAAAAAAAATAAAAAAAAAAACTTTTCTCCATGTTTTTTTTTTTTTTTCTTGCTTTTGTTGGATTTTCGTGAATATTTTTAGCGCCTTTTGCAAGGCGTTTTGTTCGCCCACGCTGCCCATGCATTCGCGACCTCGCTGCACCAGGATAGAAAAGTGCATCAATAGTGACAATGGGCCAGTTGGTACATGACTACTTTTTCACAAAATGCGCGGCAAGACAAGGACAGAGTAAGTGACACAGCACGAAGCGCTTCGTGTTGTGTCACTTACTCTGTCCTTGTCTTGCGGCGCATTTTGTGAAAATGTAGAAAAGTGCGTTCATTTCGCGCGCGTGGGGGGAGGGGGTCAAAATTTTAACGCCCAAGTTGGGGGTGCGTTTATTACGCGAGTGAAAAAAAAAATCGAAATTTTGAGAGCCGACTTGGGGGGTGCGTTTATTACGCGAGTGCGTTCATTGTGCGAGTAAATACGGTACTGCCTAAACATTCTGGAGAAACTTTTGGCAGTATGCTGAAAACTTTAGATGGTGAGAAAACACCATTATTGTAGAAGTACTTAAACATTGTCTTCTGTGTGCCTTTGAAAGAAAACAAAATGCATCGAGCCTACAAACTTTTAATCTACAAACCAAAGAAATTTTAGCTATTGTGTCATAATGAGAAAGTACTGTCTGACCATTTATGTGTGCAATCAGACAAATTTATGTCCGAACTCTCACTCTCTACTCATTCCCAGCCTGACAGGGGTGAGAACTGAGACTAATCCTCTGCTTGAGCCCCAACAACCTAGAGATTGGCTGTAGTACTTTATTACTTACACATGTAAGTCAGGCACACACGAAAAGCCTCAATGCAACTCACCGGATAGGCATACGTTGGCGATGTCCTCTGAAGAGAGCCGCCGTTCACCAGCGGACTGCTGTGAAATGAGCAGACGGAGAAGATTTGAAGCAGGCTGGCACTAACGCTCCGAATAAATCATTGCCAAACTTCAATCTATCAGGTTCACTCGGTGAGCCTAACTCAAGATCGTTTGTGTAGACTAAAGATAAACAGAGCTTAAGGTTGGAGTAAGAAACTCAACATGATATGATTAGGGAATGCAACGTCACCCTTGCTAACCCCCTTCTTTTCTGGCTTCCCACAACATCAACATGAACACCACATGGCAATATAGCATATGTCGAAGCTGTTTGTCAGAGCGACAGCTACTATACTCTCCAGATAGCCGCCTTGCCAATAGCCTCTAAATCTCTGACCAATGAGAGCAGTCTCATATCGACAGCACTGCTTCCGCACACAGATTATACATAGGGTCCCTCGTTTTCGGGTTTTAGTTTTGCCCACTACTATTTTAATGTTCGTCCTCAAAAACCATCGGAGCAAGATAAAACTTAGTCCAAGTTTTATCTTGCTCCGATGGCTGTCCCCATTGTCCTCTGTGTGTCCTCGTTCCTTGCTCTTTTGTGCACCCCTAGTTTAGGGGTTCAAACCTCCCCAGGTCTTCAATGGGTTTTGCCCATTTTGCTGTTAAAGCCATCCAACTTAACCCTGCTTTTTTTTTTTTGCGTGCTTTTCTGTTTAGGGTTGTAGTCCAAAACAATTCAAAGAAAACTAAAAAATAATTTTTAATAGAGTGATGTCCAAATTTTTAAAAACATTCCTCTTATTTCGGAAATTATGTTATAAATGTAAAAATAAAAAATAAAAACTGAAAACGAAGGACGCTAATTATACAAAATGGTCAAAAAATATTTCCTACTTTTTTCCCCTATAACCCTTAAATTATCTGCCCTTCCCTGTGGCACAGGCAGCAACTGCATACAATTTAATAAATATGTTCCCTAATCAGTTTCATACTGTACGTTATGCCACATTATTGAATGGCAGGAGGTCATGAAATAAGATAGAAAATGTCAACTGGCAGAAATGATTTTTAAAAAATAAAAATATAGATATACAAAGCACACCTGGTTGTAGCAGAAAGGTTCACAAGAATAATACTCACTACACCGGGCTTGCAGGAGGCTTGGGAGATATGGTTGTTGCAACTGTACAAGACAAACCAGCTATGTAAGATTAAGAGGCAACTTTTGAACCATGGCAAAATAAATCTCAGAATAACACTGATACATGTTGCATATGGAACAAACGACAGTTTATAGCATTAAAAATCGAGGATTGTTATTCTCAATTTCCTGCCACCAGAAACAGGCAATATACATAACAAGGAGTTGCATGACTTCCTGGTGAACACAGTGTCCATGTGCCTAAAGCATTCTCAACTTATGTGTCTCAATGCCCCCTTTTTGTTTTTTGTATGCATTACACTACAAGCAAAAAAAAAAAAAACTTGTCTGATTTGGGACATACAGAAGATCTTGCTTCATGCTTGTTGGTTTGATTATCAGCAATGCTAGAGAAAGCCAAATTCCGGGCATTCAGAAGAGGGCTACACAGTTGCCAGATTAGGAAACATCCACAGTTTTATTTGAGAATGAGTAAAGCTATACGCACGACGTCATGCGACTCAACCGGTCCTGGCTATACACACGACGCGGGGAACTCATGCCATTTGGGTCACCCTTTTTGAACGGCGCGTGTATCACTGGGGAGCGTGATAACCCACCTTGGGTTGCCTGTGTTCATGCTGCTTCGCAGCAACTGTCTGTGGCTGCTCATTACTAAACTATTAAGCCACTTGCCCCCCCCCCCTACACGACGCTTCGCGGCGTTTAACTGGCAACCCAAGCTTCACTTTCCCCCAATGCACCTCTGGAAAGGGAGTCCCATACCCTTCAGTTCTGTGAAGTTTAGTCAACAACATTCAGTTCTTTCAGTGATAATAGTAAAAAAGAAATGTCGCAAATATCACCAATTGCTCAACAAAAAAAATGGTTGAGAAAAAGAAAAGTAAGCCCACTCTGTGGATTGAACCTGGGTCCACTGCGTATGAAGCAGACACCTTTTCATCAACCTACGCCCGCTTCATCGTTTTGACCATCGTTTTATACGAGACTTACAAAGTTTTGCATCGTGCGTATAGCCATTTTCGGTCGAGGTGCATGACCCCGTGCGTATAGCTTTACTCTTTGAGAACATAGAGCAAAAACAGAGCTTCTAGCTGAGGTCTGTGTCCCACTGCATGAAATACACTTGAAAAAAGAACACTGCCTTTCAAATTAACTTTTTTGAAGGACATAACCTCCCCTCAAAATTTCCTTTAAAGGGGTGGTGCAACGATCTTCACTTCGGCCAATAAACTGAGGGAATTAATCTGTGTCACCTATAGAACGAAGAACAGAAAATAATTTTTTCTTGCGCGCTGGTTTTTATTTTAAAAAATGAAATAAATTGAAGATCAAATTTCTCCTCAACTCTCGTGCCGTCTTTCGAGTGATGTCACCGGGGCACCACCTGGTTTCCCGTTGGGGTCTGTCTTCAGAGCCTCCAGCCCTTCAGAGCCCCCTCTGCGACTGTTGACTTTTCAAGCATTAGCATCGCCGAAGGTTGCGGTGAGCGATAGAGACGAAGGAAGGCTCGCCACGGGGCTGACGGCGAATGCAGCAATGGAGGAGGACTGGTTTTGTTTACTTTTGTGTACCCCCGTAACTTGACACCATAGCTTCCGCAACTGCCACACGCGAGTGCAGATCAGCAAAAAATGTGTTTTTTCCTTTGCGATTACGCAGTGGAATAGCAGTCTTTCAGGGGAAGGTGGCACGTGCTTTATCGCTTGTGCCTAGATAAACAATACAAAAAATACAAGCTGCAAAATATTTCGACATTAAAATTGTTGCACTGACCCTTTGAGTGCTTAGATTAGACGTGTCAAAAAACAAACTTGCGTAATATTTACGCCGCAAGATTTGTTCAATGGATCCCGAAACACGCTTCTATTTCGGGGATCAACGTCTTGAAATAGAAACCTGTTTTGGAATTGCTCCTAATTCAATTTTTTTCCTTTTTTTGTTTTGGACAAGTTTATTTGGGAAACGTATCTGTCCTATCCAGCACTTAAAAAAAATTCCTTTAGAGGAAAGTTCAGTGTCTTTTTAAGGACAAGCTCACTAAAACCAGCTGTGACCAGCTGTGACCCACCAAGCTCCTGCGGCTCCGTGACCACCTCCACGTAGGATACTGGGAAGATGCCTCGCTTGTTCCCAATGCGTCCCTCGTACCAGTTGGCATCCACACGACGCATCAGCACCACCGTTTCACCCTGAGCATTCGAAATGGGGGGCTGGCTCTTACATTCTACCACTGCATGACCACATTCATTTCTCGAGCCACAAAACAAAACAGGTGTTGGGACACACTGCATCGGGGTTAACGATACATCAGGAAGACAACTTGTCTTTGAGTACGTGAGGCACAGACCAAAAATGTGTTGGGCAGACATCTGAATGCTGTCTTGCTCAAGTGGTGTCAGCTTCCTGGCACCACTTGAGCAAGAGAGAACTGCCACTCTGAACATGTGATCTTCATCCTTGCAACACAGAACTGCATGCTTATCAACATAAAAAAATAATCAGGAAACCCAGTGAACTGTACCTATGAACTGTACCAGTGAACTGTACCTAAAAAATAAACAGAGCAATTGTAAGTAGACCTGGCAATGAACCAGCCCCGACGATATAGGAACTACGAGACTATGCAATTACCACTTTTGAAGGACAAGAATTACAGAAGCCAGAGAACATTTTGCCAGGGTAGTGCCTTATATGGATCCCAACTGTCGTTTTACCTTCCTGTCAGCGTGACTTACCCCACAGGAGCCACTATTATTAATGAGCAACATACTGTACAATTAAAGCCTCTAAAGCTTATCAGTCTCAAAAAGTTAAAAAGTACAAAAATGAAAACGGCGGTGATGATTTTTAATTACCTTTCAAACTAAACTCTCACAATCTGACATTGCATCAGAACCAAGAAAATGCCTACCGTAATATCCCGAGTCATCGCCCATCCCCGAGCCATCGCCCACCCCATTTTTTGGGCCAATATCGATTTCCGAAAAAACACCGAGTCATCGCCCACCCCTTCAAATACCTCAGCGCGGACTCTGCGATCCGCGAACACTCATCCTACCCGAATGACGCGGCCGTGGACCTTACAGTTGGAGGACGTCCGTGAGAAAGTAAAACGAAGGAGGGAAAGACACTTCTTTTTGTTTACGCATTTCCTCCGTGAGCGACCCCAAAGTGGTCGTGTATCCGTGTGAAAAGAAAACGATGGAGATAACAAAATAAGAGTTTGTTAATGTAATTGCGGAGTGTTAGGTCAAAGTCTGTCTCCGCCGAAGTAAGGTCACCGCGAACCCGCTCCTTCTTCTCGCCCGTCGCGACCGCGGTTGTGCAATATTTTAGGCAAAGCCAACGCGTAAATAAAGCTTTGCTGGAACGCCCTACACAGACGTTTGCAGAGCGTCCAAATCCGTGCATTGATAGCCCGCCGTGCACGGACGCACGTATGTACGCGCCAAACAAGAAAGTTGCGCAAGAGCTTGCGATTGACAAGGCGCCCGACTTGGCCCGACGCCAAAGTATTTTCCAACGCGACCGCCGGCTTTCCCGCTTTCCCAGCATTGCTCTTGGTCGCTCCTTTGGTCCGCTCGCTCGCTCGCTCGCTCGTTGCGCCTGGTCGGTTTTTCTATTTTCTTGTAGACTTTTCTTTTTTTTTTTTTTTACTAACTAGGAGAACATAGTGGTGACATTTTCTCACGGAACAAACGTTCGCGCTAAATGCAGATCGGCGGTGTTTCTAGCGCGTATGCAAGCAACGGACTTCGCTATAGTAAAATATTCTTTCGTGAGCATTTTTTCGATAAAACAATGAAACTAAATCAAGTTTTGAGTTTGATGTATCTCTTGTGCATCAGCGCTAGATACGCAGAGAAAAATAGGCGGTTTTTTCCGCTTTATTTCAAGTGTTTGTGCTCACCCACCGAGACATGGCCCACCCCACTTTTTTAATGAATTTCAGGCGGTAGGGGGGTGGGCGATGACTCGGGATATTACGGTAGTGGTATTAGAACACCCCTCACTATGAGGGTGAGCACCCCTTCTCTATCTGTCGGAATCCTACGCATTCGCGAATGTACGAAAAATATGGAAAGTGACATACTCGGAAGAAAGACAGCTCCACCGGCGTCTGGGCGCAGAAGTTGTACTTGGCACGTGCCAAGCCCTCGAGCGCTTTGCGTGGCTGGAGATTGGCGCTCTCGACCGGAATCACCTGCCCAGCCACAAGAAGGTTTCAGCAAAGGCTGTGCTAGAGCGTCGCGACCTCACGAAACCAGGATTTCATTAGCCTACAATCTCCGTAAAGCATTCTCTTTGCCTAACATCAAATAGTAAAAAAAAAAAAAAAATATGTAACAGGTAATGGTATTCAGATGTGAGGAGACATAATTGGCAGCTAGTTTATGAAAGCATGCAGCACATCTTGAACATTCTGCAGTTCGTATTATTTTGAGGAGTATTTACGCCATTTCATAAAAACTCCAAAACTGTTTTCAAAAATTAATGAGTGCATAAACGGAAGAAATATACCGAGTTTCAACTCTTTTGGGAAAAGGCGTGCAGACTCTGGAGGGAACTAGGTATACTATGTCGAAAAGCAACAGACTGATGGGATCTTGACTAGACCCCTCTGCACTTGGGCCAGAAGCTTTTCAAAGAACCCTCAAGAGTTCCAGGAAGAGTCGTTACCTCCACGTAGCTGACGGGGAAGATCCCGACGAGACCGTGGTGCTCCCCTTCGTACCAGTTGCGGTCAATCTTGCGGGTGATGTACACCAAGTCGCCTTTCCTCAAGCTCACCTCCCTGCAGTGGGGACAGTGTGTCAGCCATGGAGGTAGTAAGCTTCTGGAGGTGGCATGAGGCCAACAGAGGTGAAGCCAGAAGTGTTAAGGGACACAACCCCTAACGATGACCAAAACCAAGAGACGCTATTGAACGAAAAGGAGAGCTGACTTGGCACCAACAGCTGTTTGGTAACCAAAAGAGCTGTTGCCGCCAAGTCAGCTCTTGTTTTCGTCCAACAGCATCTCTTGGTTTTGGTCATCGTTGGTGGCTGTGTCCCTTAACACTTCTGGCTTCACCTCTGGTGGCGTCATGTCGCCTCCAGAAGTTTACTACTTCCATGGTGTCAACCATGCATCTTTCTCACTTTGACATTTCTACTGGCATCTCAGTCGTGAAAAAAATCCACAATATTTAGCAAGAAACAAGGCTATTTCTTATCTGAAGCAAGGCATATGAAATGGTGTTCCGAAGACAATATTACTTTTTAAAGCAAGTTAGTATTGCCAACAAATAGTACAGACTTTTTTAAAAATTTTTGCATGCTGTTTGAAACTCTGCGACACTGTTGGCACAAACAAACCGTTGTCAGTTTTCTTCTCAGTATTGAAGGACTGTCATCAAAACTACTATAGGAGTGGAAAGTGCTCATTTGGGATACTAACATAAATGGTAAATTTTGATGACCATTAGTAAGTACCCTTTGGAAGCAAAAGAAAAAAAAGTGCCAAAGTCATGTTCGTGCTAACAGTGTCGCACAGTGCTCAAACAACCTTCCCATAAATCAGGGGTTCTCAAACTGGGTTCCGGGGAACACAGGGGTTCCACGAGCTGGTCTCATGGGTTCCGCAAACACCCAAATTGCAACCCCCCCCCCCCCCCCCCCCCCCCCCCCCACACCGCAGGCTGCGCGGCAGGACCATGCAAAGCGCCTTCATCTCACTTTGTACTGACATTGCGATTGATATGGTGGGGATATATGGGAAGGAACACAAGCAAAATTGCCTACAATTGTGCATCTGTTGCTTCTCGGTTCGAAAATTTGGAGGGGGGGGGGGGGGGGGGGGGGCGGGGCAGGGGTTCCGCTGCAGTTTTTGAGGCTTCATGGGGTTCCTTGAGACTAAAAAGTTTGAGAACCCCTGCCATAAATCATGCAAAAAGACTTTTGCATTTTGCCTAACATTTTAGTCAAGTGCATTACAGCAACAGAGTAATCCGAGTTGCTGACTTATTTGCTGCTTCCCTGCAGTACACTGGAGCATAGAGACCCTGCAGGCATGACCTGAGTTAGTGCAAGGATTCTGACATGGCATGAATAAACTGTATTGCTGCCACACTGGCAAAACTGGCTACATGTCAATCTGAATCAAAGGCTAATTAAATGAAAGAAATAAATGAAGCAGCAAACATAACAAAGCTTGTCATGTGTTTGCAGAGCCTGAATAACTTTTTTTTTTTTTTAATTTTTCATATTTTCCAGATTATACACCAACTCAACTCTCCTACGTCAAGCCGCGGCGGTGGCGCGTCGAACGCACTTCCGGTCTGGGGCGGTGGGCAGAAGTCGCCGTGCGAGACATGCATTCTTGTGTTCTTTTCGGAGAAACCAGACAAAAAACCTGCATTCTCGTCAAAATGCTGCGACGGGGGCTGTGCCAAAAGAGTTTGGAAAGGTTTGAGATCAGTTTTCATGTGTTTCTGCCCGCTCCGTTCGTCCGAGTAGGTGGATAGTAGCCGTGAAAAGGGTAAACCAGACGATGTCGAACTGCGATTGCTTGTGCGGGCAACACTTTGTGGTCGCCAGATATATTTGTTTTGTTCCAACATGAACGAGAAGAAACCGCCAAGTTGTCCGGGCCCCCCGCGGGGTCAGTGCGTCTTCAAATTCACACGGCCGCCTGATCGTTTGAACTTTCGTCTGCTCTTTTGAACTTGTCTGCTTTTTGTCGTCTGCTCGTTCAAACAAAAGCGGCCCGTAGACCAAACTTTGACCCGGTGATTGCAATAAGAAAAAATTGCAGGCCTCAAACGACTTAAGTAGGCTCGGTGTAAACAGTACATACAAGATGTTGATCATTGGTACCAGTGGCCATCACAGACTTGTTACGCTTGGTCTGTTTCCGCTTCCGAATTTCAGTATCGACGTCGATCATCGCCGCTACCTTCTACACTTTTGCAGCACGAGCGACGTCGCGACCGAAAATATCTAGAAGATTCTCATCGTGGTTTTGGCGTCCATTCTGTGGCGTCCACGTGAAATGAATCGCCGCAAGTCAAATTATTTACGCAAAGTTTAGCGGTATAACGAGCCTTGATAGTTTCGCTCAGGCGATTAAAGTAGTAAGACATTGCTATGGGGACATAGATTCGACAATTCCGGCGCGAAAAAGAGTATGCAGACTCACACAGACGCCGACAACGTAACATTCCAAAGGTGTGTGGACGCGGGACGCGGTGCTTCTTGCCCGCAATCCATTTCGCATGCGTTCGAACTGTCGTCTGCTCTTTCAAACTTGTCTGCTTTTTGTCGTCAGCGCGTTCAAACAACAGCGGCCCGTAAACCAAACGTTGACCCTATAATTGCGATAAGAACTAAGTGAAGGCCTCAAAACACTTTTGAAGGTTGGTTGGGGTAAATAGGCTAAGTGTAAACAGTAGATACAAGATGTTGATCATTGTTACCAGTGGCCATCACCGATTTGTAATGCCCGATTCTACTTGCGGTTTTCAGTATCGACGTTTACCATCTCAGCTAGGGTCCACGCTTTTGCAGCCCGAGCGACGTCGCGACTGAAAATAGCGAGCAGAATCTCATCGTGGGAGTCAGGCTTTAGCGCCCGTTCTGCGGCGTCCGCGTGAAATGAATCGCCGCAAGTCACATTATTCACGCGAAGTTTTGCATCGTTAATTTTGCTGAAGCCGCTCAAGTAGTCAGACATTGTTAGGAGGACGTAAAATCAACAATTCTAACGCGTAAAAGAGCACGGGGACTCCCACCGACGCCGAAAACAACGCAATGCAATGGTTTGTTTATGGGCGACGGCGGGCTTCTTGCCCACCGTCCACCGCGCATGCGCGGCGCCGGTGGCATCCGCTAGGAGCGCTCCGGTTTGTTTGTAAACATGAGTTGGTGTATAGTTCACGGACTGTATACATGTTTAACATTTTATGCAATCCAGACTGTCTACAGGTGAAAACTATATAAGGATTTGCTTTCCAATACTGTTCATTATGACGAGACTTCATAGATTTTGTGAATGACAGATTGTGCTAAGGACGATTTCTGTTTGATACAACAAGTTCCTTTATGCGGTAATAAAGTGAGCATATTTAAAAATGTGCTGTGTACGAGAATGTTGTGTAAGAGCTGTGCACCAGGTTTGAACTATGCACCGGATGAAGACTATCTAAAAACAAAAACTTTCTTTTTCAGCCAAAATTTGTCCCTGCAGATTATAAGCCATGTGCAGACTATAGTCCATAAAATATGGTATGTCTTGAAAAGCAGAAATCAAACGAGCTCTAACGTGTTACATCGAGAGCTGCCTACAATGTTAAACATGCCAGAAGTTTAAACATCAACAATGGCTAGCAAACAATGTATGTTAATAAACAGTACTTATCAGATGCCCTTTAATGAAGCAGTAGCTCAAGCCGACTTACTTGGGTGACTGAGCCAAGAAGTTGTAGAGCACCTTGGCCAGAGTCCGAGGTTCGGGAGTCCGATTGGAAGGGCGTGATGAAGAGGTCTCAAACGAGTTTTCATACCGATTCAGAGGAATTGGGGATTTCTGCGATGGCCTGCACACCCCGAAAATATTCAGTCCGCTTGGACGCTCGTAGCAACAAACTATAAGCTAGGACCGTTATTTTTGGTTAGCCAAATGTAAAGGGAACATAAGAAAGAATATTGTGAGCGAGGCCCCACGTGTTTCTTAGAGAAATGGCTACACAGGGTTCTAGCCCTACCCACTGCACTCAAGAGGAGTTGAAACAGAACCTCAACACCAAGGAGGCAGAGATAGGAAAACATGGGGAAAAAAAAAGGGAGCAAAGGAAAACGTGTCTAAAAGCATTTTCTTGTTAACATATACTCGGGCATAAAATATACTGAATGGAAGTGCCGAGTCGGATAATTTTACTAATCTGCCGTTGATTTACCAATTTACATAAATTAGTTTCTCTAGAGAATGTCTCACAATTTTTCATAAGGATGTTTTGAAACTCAACGTGTGGAATTCCCAAGATCAGAAAACAAAGGGAAAAAAAAATGTTGGTTTCTAATAAATTTACATTTGCGGCAGTCCTAAAACGGTGGAAAGAGTATGGTCAAACCTGTTTATAACAAACAGCATCAAAAGCTACGATCAGTACGATGTACCAAGTAGTTCGATACAGAAAAAACCATTTACAACGAACTTCAGCGATGCATTTGTTGTAAGGTGAGAGCTCCTCTTTCTTTCTCATCTCTTCGCTTCCGCCTTGTAAGAATGCGCTAATTCTTTTTTTTTTTTTTTGCGTGCGTGAAGATTTTTTAATTTGAGCTTATTTCCCCTTGTGAATCGCTTCTCTTCGTGGGCAACCACTTTGGGATGAAAAGTTTTTTTTTTTTTTTTTTTTGTGAGTGCAAGCAGAGTGTTGTTTTAGCTTTCTCTCCTTCTAATTCACTTCTCTTCGCTCAATTTTGTTCGCGGCTTGAGTTTTTGGAATTTTTTTTTCTTTCCTACTTGTTTCGGGAGGGAAGGGACAGGCTAGAAGACAATTCTTTTGCGCGTTTTTGAAAGCCTTCCCGGGGAAAAAATTTTGATATAGCCAATGTGTTGCTCGTTATAAAAAGTACTTTTTACGTGCCTTTTTATCTAAATTTTCTGCGAGTTCGATATCCACAATATTTGGCTGTATGCGAGTTCGTTCTAAACGGATTTCACTGTAGTCAAGCTGAATTTCCAGCTAGATCGTTTTGTCAATAAATCTAACACAGGAACCGATAGCACAGATTTTTACTCCAATATCCTCCTCCATAAAAGAAACAAAACAATGATTGTTAGTTTAAACGTTTCTTTCACGTAAGTGTACAAGCCTAGCATTTGAGAATATCCATCCACTTTTCTTTAAACTTACAATGCAAATAATTAATTATTGGTTAATGGAGCAACACATAAAAAGGTCAGAGATTACTTTTAATTCTATATTATGTGCATTGAATGAGGCCACAAGCTAATTAAATGGCATGCAAAAAGAAATAGAAGAAAGAATGGCTCACGTAAAGTAGTCATTGTGCCGCCGCATCTCAATCTCAGCCTGTTGCTGCAGCTGCTTTTTGTAGAACTCGTCTTCATAAAACTTCCTCATCTAAGTGCAAAGAGATAAGGTAAGCCCTATTTTTATCAAAGCAGTGTGACACCGACATCGAGAGTTGCCTGTGTAATCAGTCATCTGCAACTTGATATAAATTCAAACTTTAACACTGTTTAAGGGCTCTGAATTAGATGCTGCTTACATATGCCTATGATAATGCATGCAAAGTACTAGTAACAAGCTCACACTGAAATTCTAGCTCAATAAACCAGGGTTCTGCAATCCCATATTACATGAAAAAGTTTGAACTAGATATATTTCATGTTTCCAGCATAATTCGGGGGCACAGTTATCGATAATAATGTACTGTTATTCAGTAATATGCCACAGCTTCCTGAGGCATGTTAATGTCAATTAGAAATAGAGGTGAGAAGCATTCCTGAAGTACTGATAAAATATGGCAACACTGAGTAGTTGTGGCTTGGCAATATGGCAGTTTAAACAATATCTTTAAGTGATGCAGCGCACAGTATGCAAGAAAAAAAATAAATGTTTTAAGCAAGAACTTTACAGCCACATGCTAGAAAACCACCAGATGTACCGAACAGACCAAATCTATTTAACCAATGTACCGCAATGACTAGATTTACAGAGCATAAAATTGTAATTGTAGTGTACAGCAAAGATGTGACTAGGTAGGTAGTGAATTCCTCCCACGAAAATATGAGAACTCTCATGAATTGAAAGTAACAAAACAGAACTGAAATCACCTCAGGAAGACCTTCTTGATTAAGCGAATTTCTTGTTGGGCGAAAAACTACATTGTTTTCCATTGTAGAGTCTGATTTGATGAAACAGCAATCAGAAGTAAAACTCACTACTGCTTCTTTCTTTCCTAGAGTTTAACAATAATTTTATCCACCCAACTCTCCATAAAAGAAGCTCCGACTTCTCTTTATAAACTTCCGAATGAGACAATTTCGTCTATCGCTACTTTCGCGAAAAAAAATTCACCATGCAACTCATTCCTTTGCTGCACATCATGGTGGTACAGTCTGCGAGACCAATGTTTGTGGCTCGTTCAGAGCGAGCTGGATAAATGCCACCTAGTAGACGAGGCCTCACGTGTTACGTCATCACTAGCAGGTCGCCGACCCACAACAAGCAGCAAATCTGCCGAAGTTCGATGGGAGCACGTGGCAAAGCGGCAGACGCACAAACAAGTCTTAGCGTTGCCGCGTCGTGTGTCCGTTGCGAGACGCTGCAAGATGCACTCTCATCGAAGCAGACGCGAGTCAGGCGGTGCAACGTGGATGCGCTACGGTCACTAATAACTAAATAAACGCAAGTTACAGCGACTCCCGAGAATGTTATTACTGCTCTACAGTCAATTAGATTGCGGAATTAGCCGGTAAGAAAGCCGAAGAACGAAACGCAAAGCAAGAAGTGTGAACGTGATAAGCCACGTCCCGCGTCTATCACCACAGTTAGACATCGTCACTACAGTGACAACGTTAGAGGAGGAAAGACGCAGGCCTCGTCCTCTAGGTGGCGTTGGTTGGAACCATTTGGTCCGCACGGCAGAGTGCACGGGACGCGGTTGTCCCTTACGGCCACTTCCTGCCTCCTCCGCAGCTCCTCCTCTTCGATGAACTCCTTCTCGACTGTGCGCACGGGGGTCTTGTAGTGGATGTTCACCTCCGACTCCAGGTAGCGGTGCAGTTGCGCTGCGTGAGCACGGCGGAAAAACTTTCCACTTTCGAGTAACAGGCTCGCTCGCATTCCGAGTGCCTGAACTTAAATCGTCAAGTGAAACACCGTAAAACGTCGAGCACGAACCGTATCCCGATAGTGTTTGGAAACCAAACGGGGGAGATCGGTGGCCGAGCGTGTTAGCGCGTCGCAGCTCTGAGCACGTGGAGTTCAAGCTTGCACAGCAGAGTCCGGGGATCCCGAGTTCAATCCCCACCCCTGTCTGTTTCGATATAGACAAGCACTGTATTGGTGTGCGGTCGTGTATGGCTACTGCACGATGCACATTAAAGAGCCCCCAAGCTGGCAGTTGTAATATACTTGCTAAATTTCTTGCCCACAGTGTAACCATACCTCAAAGGCAAATCGACTTTATGCTGTCGAAACACAAATGTCTAATGTGTTTTTGTTTTGAAACCAAACGAAGGACATGTCAAGCACCCCCACCGGGCTTCTGAGCTCACCTAGGTAGATAACTGAGATGCTCTTACACATCAGCAGCTTCTCCAAGCTGTCCAGTGCAGTGCGGTGAAGCCCACTCTATCGTGAGCACTTTCTGCATTACTGCTCATGGCCTTAACAAGCACTTATCCCCAGTTTTTCAGGATCCTCACTAAATTTCTAAACGGGTGCCTGCTCGCTATTTTATGGTAATACCACATTTATTCGACAGCACAGCCCTTAAAGTCTAGAAACTTCAGAAATCACAAAACTTTTATTGAATTGTCGTGCCCATGTTACACAAGGTAAGATGAAAGTCATTTAGTTAAATTTCATTCGAGCAACTGTTAAACCCGTGTGTCCTTTGTGAGTCGCAAATATTTTCCCCATCGTTTCAACGGGAATGTGGCTAAATTACCTGTGGGCATGAATCCTGCATAAGATGTGAAATAGTTTTCACTTTGTTTCCCATAGTAAAATGTGTTTTATATGCAAACATATTACACGCTGGTTCGTTTTCTACATGAAAAAGAGTTTCTTTATTTGTGTTGTACTTTCGGTGCTTCAAGAGACCTATGTTTCCCATGGGCTGAGAACACTCGAGAGGGGTGCTAAGCACGAAACTACGGAAGCATGGACAGATACTTTTGATTGTCATAGAACTATCTGTTCACTTTGGTGATAGAAAGGAAAAGGGTGAAACAGCTCTAGGGTTTCTGAAATTCTGCAAAACGTAAAACAAGATTGTGCTGCGAGTATAATTATAGATTTCCATGCTCACAAGTCCACTGGTGTTCCAACCCAAAGTATCCTTCTCTTTGTGAATTAGCTCTGGTGATGGATAAAAGCCACAGCTATTTTCCAAGCCATGGTGAACTATTGGTACACCAAAAAAGGTCACTCACATTAACTATAGCACATTCAGAACCAGAATCAAGGCATGATTGAATTTTATGTTGTGACCCCCAGGACAAGCCTCCAACTGCAAGCAAACTCAGCTGTGCCACGAAAAGGATGTCACAAAAGCATTGTAGAAACAAAAATAATAATAAACCAAATTCTCTGCCAAAGTAGCAGGGACATAACAGTGAAGGACACTTCCTTTGGAAGAGACCCGTTTCAATTAGCAAATACAAAAGGATACTGAATGTATAGGCAGCTGAAAATATCTAAAAAATGCAGGAATCTATTTAAGTACCCACAACTTCCATGTTTAGGGCAATGCAACTGTATCAGTATCACTGACAAAACACCGTCCGTATGCTTCCTCGATAGGCGCTCAGCAAGGTAGGACGGTCATGTCGTCCTATAGCATTCATAAGGATCCATCAATAAAACATGTATAAGTGCCTCCATAGTCCGTCTCATACAGATGCTTGTTAAAACGTTATGAGCTTACACAAAGGTATGCTGTTGTGGCTAACTAGAGCTGTATATACATTCAATATTATTTTTGTATCTGCCCAAAAAAAGGTCCACACCCCACAAAAACCTTGTGCACTAAAATTTTTTCCAACGTCCCACTTGACAACCTTGCCGACATCCAGCCAGACCACACACAAATGTATTCATTCGTAAAATTAATAAAAAAAAAAACTTACAAGATCGACCCTCGAGAGTTTGGAGAGGCTCAAAACATACACCCCCAATTCATAATGAGTCAGCAAGAAATGAAGCAAAACCAGAGATAAATGTGCAAGCCCTCTTCTAATAGCTCGCTGGCATAAAAAAGAAAAAAAAACAATTTAAAAAAAAAAAAACCAAAAAACAGACAGAACGCTAACCCTAAGTCTATCATCTACTACACAGATTCCCCACTGAGCTACAAATCAAAATCCATGGTCCTACCTTCATACTCGTCGAGGTCTGAATTGTCCGGTGGATACGGTCCAATAACAGGCTCTGTTCGCGACAACACATCAAGAGTGTCGCTGTCAGTACAATCGGGCCCCCGTGCTGCCAGACAATGCATGCCTCAAAACCCCTTCCAGCTCAAAAAGACACTGCTGGAAGGGTGTGAAAAACGGAGGAAGAGCTGTCAGACAGTGGATGCTTGGGCAGAGAAGCAGTGCTGCAGAGAAGACCTGCCACCAAGTTACAGAGCTGCCCCAAGGTGCGATGAGATGGGCCACGAGATGAGGGAGATGCCAACAAACCGCAAGGGCTTCACACAGAACTGACAAAGATGACAACATATGTGGTGTGCTATGCACTGCGACAAACGTGCTCTGTCCAGCCTGTGCTGCTGATCACGTGCAGTTACAAGCACACGCATTGACGAGCTACGTGGAATAAAGTCACTACATTGCCTTAAGGATTCACACTATTTTCCGTAGTCATAGGCAAATTAAAAATAATTAAAAAAAAATTACCTTAGTCATCTAGCTTCTGACGATCTGACTCCACACAGCAAGCAGCGCATAGCACACACCACACACATTATGATCTGCGTCATGACACACATGCAAGATGATCACAGCGAGAAGGACATTGCATGCAACATGCAACAACACAACATAAAAACATGTTTTTCACTTAAGAACAGCATAACAAAATATCAATCCATCTTTCATTCCAAGCTTGAAGTTAAGGCTTTTGATGTGAAAGATAATAAACATCAAAAAGTTTAGTTGTGTCAGAAATCAGACATGGGTTGAAGACTAGAAGTTTGGAGTCAGCATGTGACAAAAACTGCCATGAGTATGACCCTTGTGAGAATATTGAATTTTGAGTTTGATGCAAATTGAAAACAAATTCGAAGCAAATAGATGTTTTGGCCGAATATTTTCTAATCAAATATCAAATAGTTTCTTCAAGCCTTTCACTACTGAACACCATGCTTAAAGCATAAACCGCATGTAAGCAATTTGACGACCGCCGAGACAAGCAACGGCAACCCGCTTCACTGCCGCTCAGTCAGTCATGCTATGAAGCAAACCGCATGATGTGTGACGTTTTCTAGATGAGAGATGTTTTCTACAAAATCCAAAAACCGAGTGACACGACGCGCGACAGCAAGAAATTTTCATTGCTCGTTGCTGACTCTCGCCGCTTGTGCCGTCGCTCATCTCGTTGCTCGCTAAATCGATTACGTGCAGTTCAGCCTTATACAAATATTAAGCTGAACTCGTGAAGGTTGTTCACAACCTTCCAATTGTCCACTGTGTGTTCATTTCAGTTATTTTTTTTAGTATTTTTCTGCTTTTTAGTAAATTAGTTTATTTTAATTTAACTATATTTATGTGCTGGAGCACATAAACAACCTACTTGCGACAGCTGTCATAATGGAAGGGATTCATAAATCTGCTTGCTGTATGCAAATGATCTTTCTTCAATTTCAAAATTAACAAAAAGAAAGAGCACGATCAATGAATGCGGGTTGTCAAGATACTTTTGCCTAACATATACTTAATGAAGAAAGTGACTCATGCACGCCAACTAATAAATTAACTCCATCAAAAAAAAGAAACTGACAAATACACACACTGCATATGCATTTGTCTGCTATTTCACTATTTTCCAGTCTCAAATTTTTTCGTTATAGATTAACATATACTTCTGCATAATTATGGCGGGTTAGCCTCGTTAAATGCGCGTCTCATCAAGCACCTGTCCACTGCGGGGAAGCAATAATTACAGAGCTCGCAAGCTCTGTGGGTATTGGCTTCCCTGCAGTGCACAACTGCTTGGCGAGAAGCGCACTAAACAAGAGCTAAATTGCCACTATCAACACTTTGAAAAGTATATGAATATTGCACTTCTTCTCTAAGCCAATATTAAATACCATACTATTCAAAACTACTTTTAGAAAAATCTAATATTTGCACCACCCTAAAAGTTATAGCATTAAAAGATTTCGCTACAGCCCAGCATTTGTGTTGGCACAACATTGGCAGTGCAATGGCTGCTTCAGTGGCATGTACAGGGGACAACACTATGAGCTGGTACTGCAGTGCTCGGGCCAGAACAGAAATGCCTTGCAGGGAGCCTAGGGTATGATAAGCCATTAAAAGGGAGGTTGGAATGGGCTGCCACACTCCCTACTGTCGCACTGTGGCATCAGGTTCCATGGCTTAGCATACCAGAGGCACCCCATGTGGCATTTCAATCCCCTTCAGCTAGCATGTGCCTGTGCCAGTTCATAATGCCACTGACGGTTCAAGCTGAAAACCAAAAATGGTAAAGCAGTGGTTTGTATAATAGGCTAATAGCCATGTGAGGACAATACTAGTACCTCATTTCTTCACAGAATGGTTCAATGGCATGGATTTGTGCACGTGGGCTGCTCCTTCTGCCACTTTTGTGCAATAAAGTTGTGCCCATAGAATGAGAGATAAAACCGAAACTATGTTTCGGCCACAAAAAACATGTTCAATTAAAAATACATTTTTGAAGAGGCTGCCTTAGAAAGAGACACAGCACAGCAAGAAAACACAAACAGAAGTCACTTTCTTAAGGCCCGTTCACACTCTTGCAACCTCTTAAGACTGGGTTCCTTAAAACCTCTTACAACGAGAGGACACACTGGTCCCATCTATTGGGTAGCAGTGTGAACTTGGCGGTCCGGCATATATTCTATTTCTCTCGCACATATCCTTTCTTTCTTGGCTCGAAAAACTTTTGTCAACATTATAAACGAGCCTTTCTTATGGGTATTACGCACATTTGACCTCGGAAATACCGCAAAACCTTCGCTTTCGTGAAATGCAGTTCCAGGGTCACCGCATAGATGGCGCCAGCGTGCCAGTGTGTTCTCTTGTCCTAAGAAATTTTAAGAGGTTTCAACAAGTCTCGTCTCTCTCGGTCGTACTCGGTTGCAAGAGTGTGAACGGGCCTTTAGAGACGACAGGAAGTTAGCAGGAGGAGGTAACACAGAGCCATCACCAAGACAACACAAAAGGGAAAAACAGAAAAACAACAAAAAAACTAGTCACATTTGCAGCAAGGAGAGAACACACGTGTCATTGTACAATGCAACAGGACGATGCACCACATGTAAGGTGGAGAACGTGCAGTGTCAGTGTTTCATGTTACCTCACCCTCTCTTGAAATGATCCACCAGATCTGGTTATTTCTCATTCTGCTCATGAGCATGCCACAAAAGCGTCAGATTGCCATTTATAAATTTTAGGGTATCCGGAACATCTGCTAGCCATAATTATCGAAGTATCTTAAATATTCCTCGAAGGCATATTTCACTGGTCTTATATACATGTGATGAAGCTTGAAGGTATAGCCTTATCAGTGTTGAACTACTACCTGACTGTTCAGATGGTGATCAGACATTCGAAAACGAGGACCCTTCATTCTGTTTTTTCACATAATGTGATGTGAAATTTCACCTGATAAAACTGACTTATAGAATGCATGATCAAGTTTGCTAGAATCAGGTGTATACATTATAGGTATGATAGAAGAAATTCTCTGGACATGTAGATAACACTCCAAAGTCAAATCAAACTTTTGTTGCACTGACATAGGTCAATGACTGTACTAAATGAAATTCAATATCATTGTAGTATAGTTTCTAATCTTGTTCCCTCAAATCTGACTGCTGCCTTTAACTGAATCAATCCAAGTTATTGCCTGACAAAAATGTGGCATTCAGCTTCACAAAATGTGAAGTAATAAGCTGTCTGCAGCAAAGTAACGTTTTATGCTGAGCCAAGTATAAAACCTTGGAAGAGCACCCAAGCAGTAATGAACTTGCAGTAACCATTTAGATAATATGGGCTAAGTTCAATTTTTTAAACAAATGTTACGTATATAATTTATAAAAAATTATTGAAAGCATGCTTTGACCTGAAAATCATGCCCATAAATATTCTACAGCATTCAATGAAACATCCGAAAGATCTGTCGTTTTTGTCCATCCTGGTGATTATAGTTTCAGTAATGTCTAATAAAAAAAAAGCTACATGAATTTTACAGATCCCTGAATGTAAGCAAGAGGGGTGGTATGGATGACAGTTATAGAACGCACTGCACAATGAACACAATTTAACCGAGGTATTCCCAAGCCATAAAAATTCCAGAAAATTATTTCTACCAATGCACATATTTCATGATTCTGGAGTCAAATTCCTGTCATCGTCGAGTCCTTTTACATCAGTCCAAGAATGTCAGCACTAGTAACTATATTGTTGCAGTTGCTGTGCATTGGTACCCTTTGCACAAAGAAGCGTGCCTACATTCCAGTTTAAAGTAAGCCAACTGTTAGTTTGCAGAATGAAACTCAGTTGAGCTAACCTCAGTTCGGAGCACTTGTATATCAACTTTTCCACATTTCGCTATACAAAAAAATTAATTTAGTTATTTCAGCCGTAGTGTCTCACTTTGTCTCTAACGTTATCGCTAGAAAACATATATTGAGGTGATATTTGATTTGACTCGTAACTTAAAGTGACTTCTTACTTACAGATCGTCGGATGTAAAATACAAAAACACAAAGCAAACGAAGGCGACAACTGAACAACTTTCCACCCCAAGCGGAGACAGCAATGCCAACCCCCCCCGTAAGATCTCTTGAAAAGCACGGGAAAGTAGGACACAAACAGCAAGGCAGCGAGGAGGAATGCGCTTATAGCAATTGCTACCACACATAGGGAGCAAAAAAAGAAGTGTGAGTAAGTACGCCCGAGACGCACGCACACAACACCTGGGCTCTGTCGCCCGTTAGTAAAGGACTTGCTCCAGTCGCTATTCAACCCCACACCAGCTGCTTGTCACTCCAGACGCAACCCAAGCTGCCATTGTTAGTGGCCCAGGAGAAACCGAGGGAAACGAAGGGTACTTGGTACGCACACAGAGACACAATCTTTTGGGAATTAGCAGCACAAGTATCTACACAAACAAAAGGACAGGCAATTAATTAACGGTTCCTACGAAGCAGAAGACACCACCATTGCCTTTGATGCGACATCATAATGTTCGCTCAAGCACTTTTCTCAATGAAAGTATGTATACGAGTTTAAAGCCTAGATGTAAAACATACCGAAATGCCCTTAAGGATTGAAGTAAATGATATCGTATCAGGACGGAAGTGACCAACTGACAAGTATGGCACTTCTGCTCTAATATCTGACAATTTGGTTTCAAAGTATATATATAAACCTTCCTTGCTATCGAAATGAGGCTCTTAGATTGTTCTTGAAATATCAAGTATAATATTGTATTTTACATCCTTATTGGCATCTCAGTACATTTTTTATTGCATTTCATATTTCACTACACCAGACCATCCATACAGTAGAGCGTCTGTATAGTGAAGACTGACCAAATCAAAATAGAGATATATAGTCCCAAAATTTAAGTATGCGTGTACTAATACCAGTACAGGCATTTCTAATACTGACATAGTAAAGATACAGATATAAAATTTTTCCTTTAAAGCACCAACTTTACTATACAGAGGTCCTAATGCATTTCCAAAATTTTAAGACAAACCTACATTCTTACAGAAGAAAAGAGAAAGTGAAGCGGATACCCTGCACAACAGCACTCACATAATAAAAGCAGAAATGAGCAATTGGTTGGGATCTACCATAACCGAGTTTCTAAATTGCCCAACGTTCTTAGGTTTTCCTCGACTATCTAAAAAAAACCGAGTAATAAATAAAAAAAAAAAAGCAAGTCATAACGCCATCAATAACAACAATTTTAAAATTTGTGGCCTGCGCAGTCAAAGTTCTACCAAGCCCTCCACGACGATTAAGACCCTTTGAGCATAAACTTCACCCAAGAATATAGAACAGATTTAAATTTTTCCAGCTCACTCAACAAGGGATTGAGAAACACTTTTTGTCGGCACAGCCAAGCCGCCGTGCCGACCAAGTGAAGTCTTGAGGCGATCCCATTCAAACACAACCAATGCAACCTGACCATCTTCTCTCCACCAGAGGGCTCTGGGCAACACCTTCTAAATAACAAGGCTGTAGTGCTTAAGTTTCTATGTCGCACCTCTGAGGCCATCGCGGGGCATAAACAGGACATGACTGCTGCGCCAACGTTCAGCTCGGACTAGCATTCAACCGGCGAGGATGCGGGTCTCAGCCAAACGCTGATGCAGCACTCGCATTCAATCCGTGCCCCACAGTGGCCTTCTTAAGTGGCTTAGAAAACCCAGCACTATGGCATTCTCATCTAGGGAGCGTTGGGCTGTAGCGAGAGACAAAAGGTAAGGGGGTGGCGCGCTCACCGCGTGGCTTCTCTGGAGCAGGCTTGCCCAGCCCCTCGAGGGGGATGTCTTCCCCCCGCTGGACCGCCTTGTACCATTCCCGCTGCTGCTTAGAGTCCAGGTGGTTCATGCGCCGGCCCGCCTTGCGGATTAGCGTTGTGTCTGACTCGTAGCCGTCGCTCAGTGTGCTGGGTCAATCGGAGTCGAAGTGGAAAGACATCAATCTGTACCTTCATTGGTACCTGCCCTTCAGCTGCAAATCTCACTCCGAGTATAGCTTTGATAAGGGCATGTAAAATACAAATATGTGGGATGTGAATCTCAATATAAATTTCGATATAACCTGAATATGCATTATTTTAGATTAGAATAGGAACCAAAGCAATGATGAGCCATATTATTCTACGACATATGCAGTGATGGAAGTGGCATTGGACCTTTCGTAGCAGGTTTTCTAGTAGGCAAAATATTCGTTTGGAGCAGTAAACCGACGGTTTTGGAGCAGACGCCAAAGTTTGTTAGCATGTCAGTTGAAAATCTAATTGCATCACTAAATGAGTTCATATTTGAACTCATTTAGTTGAGGGTTTCTATTGAATACGGAAGAAAATTACTCATTAACTTTTGTAGTAAGAATAGATGCGAAATAATCACACAGCCTTCTTTTTAGAAATAAAACTGAGGTCCAAGTAGGTTCCATTTACAATCGGTATAAAAAAAAATAGTTAAAAAATCAGGCATGGAGCAACACTCCAGTTGAGATAAAGCCTCCTACCTGTTCCCCACTTTTACACTCAGTAGTTAATTTAGTCTATAGATTCCTGTAAAATGTCGGCAAAAATCAGCATATCTACAATGAAACATCAGTAGATAAAAATATGTACCTCGCAAGATTTATGAACACTAAACTCCAAGATTCTAATAGAATAAACTGCAAAAACAACCACCCCCAAATATTATGAAAAGCTATATTTGTGCTTTAAAAGTGATACTGTACTTTAGCGGCGTTCAAACCCGAGTTGAGCCGGAGTTCGCTGCCCTTTCGATCGACTGCTGCACGGGAACTACCTAGACTACCATATTTGTTCAAATAGAGACCCGCATTTTGTCTCCTTTCTTGGCACATCCTTTTAAAATTGGAGGTCAACCTACAGTCAAGATTTAAGATGGTCGACCTGTAATAGTACCGAGCACAACTTCTGAGCTAATCGCGCTAACTTATGTTCTCCCCCATGTGAACCGCTGCTCCTAGCACTCTGGTGTAAAGCGGTGAAGCTCGACGCATGCGCACGCTGGTGTGAGGCGGTGAAGGTTGATGCGAGTGGCGAAAGTGCAACGGTACACTGTAGCCACACCATGGACGCATGTAGCGGACATGATAATCAAGTGATATCACCAAGACTAAAAGACACTGGGTCCGTCTTTTTATAATAGCCACCATTGCACTATTTTGTAATTTCTCTCAAGACTTTTTGCTCCTCATATCGCCGACATTGTCTGGAAACTCAAACAAGGCAGGGCGAGCGCGGTAGAGAAGAATCTCAACACTTCGTTTCATCTTAAAAGCGCAGGCGACGCTAGGAGTCAATGGGACGAATCACGCAGCATCGAAAGAGCAACATCATGGCCTTCGTCCATTATCTGTATGTGCTATTTCATTGGCTAAACCAATCAAGCGCTGCAACTTATGCTTTTAGTGTGTGTTTGTGACAACATGTGTTTGAACCTTCAGCTGTGTTCTAACATAAGAAGAAACATACTATACGGTGAGAAGAGACGCCTTAAAATACATATGAATACCATTTTAACACGATAGGGTTAAGGAGCTTGTGCCGCGCCAGCCTCGGTGGCATACCAGTAAAGCCGGCGTAACGCAAAAATCCCGATTGGTCGATAGAGTCATGCCGTCACAGCCACATGACCTCGCGCGGGAATTTCAAACAACCCATAATGTTCACGTGAAACGTGATATCATGCGTGGAGTGAAAGTGATTAAAACACAACATGTAATGCGAATTAAAGGTTGCCGCATGTCTCAAATGACTTCATCTTATAGAGCAATTCATTTGCCTTAAGGACACTGGCTAGAGATTTAACTTCTGAACTACTCAAGTGATCAGAATGAAATTTGTTGGGGAGATTTAACACCAGATGTAGGTGCACTGTGCAGACTTTCAGCTCTTTAGGAGACTTTAATATACCTACATAAGAAGATCAGTGACTTTTTGTTAAGAAATCTATGATACACAAATGAATCTACTAAGCACCATTTTGACTGCTTGAATTTAAAGTGGTGGATGTGAAACTTCGGGCTACCTAATTTTTGTAACTCGTAACTCAAATGTAAATATTTCAGGAAGAGTCATTACCTCAAATTATGAGATGCATATAGTATCTGTCTTAGGTCCATTTTTGAAAACATGGTTTTTTCCTCAATGAGGAGTTCAACTTAAAACAAAATAAAGTAGATAGCTTGATTCCCCAGAAAATTTCCGTTCAGAAAAATCTTGATTATGGCATCAGGATACTTTTACCTTCGAACAAAAGATTCCTTCGTATGAAATTTGCAGCAAAAACTGGAACTGAGAAAAATGCATCCAAACATTGAACTCCTGTACTTTTTACTGCCTCACAAGTGTTGAAAATACTTTATAACAATGTAACTGTTTGGCATATGGTTATCAAATTTAGTGTAAGGATGTATAATTAGTTTCTAAAACCGAAAACCTTAAAATTGAAACATGAACTTTTTTCAAAAAAATTTTTAATTTTGGTTCATGTCCTCCCTTAAAGAAAACATTTGAAAAATTTTAGGTGGAGGCGGGATTCAAACCCACGACTCTTTGGTTGCAAGCCAGACACACTACACCAACTAGGCCATGCAGACACGCTCGCACAGCTTTGGAACAAGAGGCAGTTTATATCTGTAGCTATAGCGTTCCACTCTTAAAGGCGAAGCTTAAGCGTCCAAATGTAAATTTAGTTTCCTTTTACTTTTATATTAGGATCGACCAATAATAAAAGATTTTTGTTTTTTGCTTCCTTCAAGCCGACCTCGGCGTAGATATGGCACAATTCTTAGCAAAAATGGCTCTTCAGCGCGAAACGTACCACACTTTCGTTGATGGCACAATTGGGTGCAAATAGCGCAGCACTTCCATTCCTGCATATGATGCAAACTGCATTCCTACAATTCCCGAGTTAAAAGAGGGAATGCCCGTTGCTCGCAAGCCCATGACAAAAGGCGTCAAAGACACTGAGTACATGCACAAACAGTAAAATAAGCGTGCAGGCACACTTACTACTTTGGCTTTGGAGCATCCAGAGGTGGCATGTACCTTGAGCTCTGAAAATGTCATGGAGACATTCTGTCAGTCCCAAATCGATGCCACATACATAAGTCACCACGCTACCCATCATAAAAAGCCAAAGGCGCTTTTTGCTCCAGATCCAAACTGCTCGAGGGTTATTCGCGACTCCAGCGACCTATAGGGGTCGCCATCATCGGGCAACTATGGTGGTCTAAAACAGGTTCTGCCGTGCCATTTGCCAGCTTAACGCCCAACGATCGCATTTGAACAGGCAAGCATGGATTCAAAATAGCCTGCCCCGATTTTTATTTAATATGTTTCAAACCTGCGGCGACGTTTTAGCATAAGCAAGCTTCCAGAGGATTGACCTTTTTCAGAAAAGCGGTGGAAGTGCTGCCTACATACTGTCCTTCTAGGGTGCTGATGAACGCTGATAAACACACAGGGTCTGGTTCACGCGGTTGCGCACGTTGCGTTCTGAGCGACCTGAGCAACATGCCGATACGACAGTAATGACAGTCACAGGGCAACTGTTTCATTGCCCCAACCACCGACAACATGTAATTTAGGAAGCCAGAAGGGACGAGCAAAAATCAGAAAAGAATATGTTCCATCCAGTTCAGTGTTTTCCCGCTAGGTGCTGTCCGCTTCTTCGAGCAACCTCCTTGCCCCGCGAGTTCCGCTTACAGCTAGCGCTGTTATCTTGGTTATCTAGTGTCGCACAGGGAAGCGTGCTCGCTGCGTCGGTCGGCTCGGCGGGCTGTTTCAGAAACCGCACTATAACCGGTATTTCCCTTTGCGCGCCTGCATTTTAAGCGGTGTGTAATTACATGGAGCTCTATGGGAGGCGAACCGGTGGTTTAAAAAAGCCGCGTCATACCCGGTCCTGCACTATAAGCGGTTACGTTGCAAGTGGTCTATACTGTAGGAGGTTCTGCACAATGGCAGATGTGATTCAATCCGAGATTGGTAAAATAATATATTTAAATAATGAATGCCTTTAATTTTTGTTTACTCAACTACTTTTTCATTTCACGTTGAAAAAAAATAGAATTATAACACTAACTGCATGTGCAATCATTACACAGACAGTTTTGTATTCTTTCACTCATATACTCTTTTATCCCAATATTTTTAGTTTAGTGGTATGATTGATACACATAAAAAGAACCAGAATAAGGTTTATATTTCTGCCACCAGTGCCCAACTTACAAAGGCGGCCTCCCGTTCAGCAATGGATGAATGACCTGGTTCATATTCAGCAATACTTCTTGGCTGGATCTTGTAAGATGCTGGAGAAGTTGACAGGCTGAGCAAAAAAGAATTTAAAATGTTTATATGGTGTGAGAGAGAGAATGAATCTGGCATTATTTCAGGACAAGAACTACTATATGACCTGCGACATGCTAATGATGACAAAGTATCTGTACAGCTGGGTATCTGTACAGCTGGTTGTGCCTTGGCATAAATACTGCCTCCACTGCCCCTATTTGTTGTGCATTACTGTTGTTGTTTTAGACATTGCCGACTGTTCCAATGTGGTGCATACTTTACTGCTGTATAAATCTTTCTGTAACAAATTTCGGTCACCTCCTACGACCTCTAAAATAAGATTGTGAGAAATGCATCATTTACAAGCAACCTCCAAAAGAGTGATTCACATTTCTGTGCAGCTGAGCATGGTTGAGCCAGTACACTGAGGCTGGAGGTTGCACACTATGTTTCTTGTAAAAAGTTGATGACAATAAAAATATTACTTAAGTACATTTTACACATACACCTTAGCTGTGCCACTTGACCCGCACCTATGTGACAAGCAAATATTCAGATATCTAACATATTCTAGTCGACTAATCCTGAATGAATGTACAGCCTCGGTGAAGAGATAAACAGGAGAAAATATCGGGAGGGTGATCTTTCAGGATGAATCAGCACAATTTTTTATGTACAGAAGTGAGCAACACCAATGTTGCAGATACGGCGAATTCATATTAAGCTGTACTGTCTCTTCACTTTATGTTGTTGCACGTGCTTCTATAAATCCACGCAGAAAATTAATTTTTGACACGGTATGTCTAACAACAGTTGCAAGCTCTTTACGGGTGGCTCACGTGGCAGTTGATACTTCTGTCAGCAGTTCACATGCCTGCCAGCATTTGCTAACAATAGTAAAAAACAGAACATCAGCCCACACATGAATTAAGGCATGCATTGGGTGGCACACTGTGCCAAGTAGTTGAAAGTGGCAACGGCAGTAGAAGGCATGTGGGACACATGCCTCCGGCTAGGTAGTGCAACCTGCCGCCCCACGCGTGTGGCCATTCGTGGGTACTGCCACCAGTCCTTTATGTTTTTTCTGCCATTAGCAAATGCAGATGTGCAACACTGAAAGCAATGATGAAGAGGGTAAGGCTGCAATCTCGATATTTGCACACTTCCGCCTATAATATTTTGCTTAGTTGGACATGGCAGATTATGGTGTATAGTCACTATTCATGTGTGAATAGTGGATTTTGTATTCGAAGTGAATTTGAAGCGAATAGTGCTATGAGCCAAGTATTTTCCAATCAAATATAAATTGTTCCTTTAAATCTGTCACTACTGTGTCACCATGCTTAAACGAAAACTCAGCTGTACTCATAAAGGTTGTTCCCCAAGATTCCACTTCTCCATTTATAAGCTAATTTTAATCTAACTATATTTATGAACTGTGACCATAGAAAGTCCAATGCCTTTGGTTGGCAAGGAAATGACCGATTTGACACAAATGAAACCCATAGAGACGCCCAGCTATACCTAATTGAGTTGATTTACAAATCTTGCTATACACAAATACATTTTCTTCAATCTCAAACTTTATAAAAAAAAATCATGAATGATGAACACAGGTTGTCAGGGCATCTCTGTATAACGTATTCAGATTCTCTTGCTTAACTCTTGCTTAACAGCCACAGCTTAATTTTGAAAATTTTACTGCAATATAGATTTTAACACTCCAAAATTTTTGTCTCTTTTCAGATACACCAGGCATGGGCATGCATCATCCCGCTTCGGAGGTGTGTTTTTCTCTCAAGAATGCAATTGCGATATTCATCCTTTCCCAAGTGTTGATTGCAGCAGGTTACCACATTGAGTGCGCTTCATACCGAGCACCGGTGCGCTGCAGAGAAGCAACACCCACAGAGCTTGCTTCCGCAAGTGTTGCTTCTCCGCAGTGCATTAATACTCAGTAAGAATCGCGCTCAACGGGGCTAACCTGCCGCAATCAACACTTTAAAATATACAAATATCGCAATTCCTCTCGAAGCAAATATATATTATATTCGAAACTACTATTCGAAATTTCAAATATTCGCACAACACTAATAGTCATTCAAAAGCTGTTTTGTGTACCACGCTGGTGACAGACAGCCCAAATCAATCAAATTAGCAAGAAAATAAAGAAAAAATAGAACAAACCCGTTCGCATAGCCACGGCTGACTGCCCTCTTAGCGTTCCTTCCACCAAACATTGGCCGGTCTGTGAAAAGAAACCAGGTTTATAAAGGATTGACTAATGAAAGCTAACAGAAATTGGGTAAGGGAAGAAATGTACATCAGTACTAACCATCGTTTCTTGAAGAGAACTCTGGCTCAGACATGTACCCATCATTGTGTCGATTTCCTTTAAAAAAAGAAAAAAAAAAAAGCAATGAGAAAATCTAATTTGTCCCAAAATGAGTTGCTGGGCGGGTTGGATAGACATCTTGACTTAAACAGCGCAAATAAGTTACGTAAGGAAGAGACAACAGCAGCGCTCTTTCCTTCCTGTTGTCTCTTCCTTACGTAACTTATTTGCGCTGTTTAAGTCAAGAAATCTAATTTGTCTCGTGAACAAAACCAATATCCCAGATAAACTGATACCACAAGAATGACAGAAATGTTCCCTTAGGAATATACTTTTTTTCAAATTTTAGTTGTTATATGACCATTGAGTCATTTAGTCAGAACACAAAAATATACATCCCAAAATTTAGCTACCTTTGCACAAATCAGTAATGAGCAAACATCATGCTGAAGAGGTAAAAAAACCTTTTATAAAAAAATTAAGTTAAAGACCATTTCATTCTATATGACTATTATGTACAAACATGCAGGACATCAGAGAATGTGGGCAATCATACTCAAAACATCTTTAAAAAAGACAACTACATTCTGCATATTACTGCTGACAAAAAAGTTTGCTAGATTTTTTCTTGTAGTTGCTTCTCATCCAAATAATTTTCATAGAGGCAGAACAAGACATCCCATGATCATAATATTGCTGATGTAACTAAAAACAAGCTACACTAAGAGGCATGCCACTAACACTACACTACACTAAGCAAGGCAGCATGAGCATGGTGACAATCTCCGGTATCAACCTCTTTTTCTGTAGCCCACCGTCATATAGTCACCTGCAAAGACCGGGTGCTCTGTCAGACACCAGCAATGTGCCTCACCACTCCAGAGTTGCGTGATCACAACCACCGAGACAAAGCAAGCGGAGCAATGCCACTCACCATCTCCATACTTGTGGAGACGCTTGTACATGGTCTTGTACCAGTCGCTCGCATACTCGTCTTTTACATTCTATGTGAACAGAAAAAAAAAAAAGGACAGTCCATTAGGACTTCAATCTTCCTAAGGCAAGTGCTCCCCTAAGGATATCTCAGAGAAAGGCAGCGTGACAGCCAAGGAGGTCTTATAAACTTGCTGAAGTGGAGCCCCACCTATACCTACAAATCAGTGTTGAAGCACTCTCTTCAACTGGCTTGTAGCACTTGCGTTACATGCCGTTTACGAACAAACCACCTCAGTGACAGCGCATGCTGATATCAGTTGAAGAGCACCGTCTCCCCTTGAACAAGTCCTTGCATAACCTTCTTGACTGAGTCAATACAAAAATATTGCGACTAGCTACTAAAAGTGACAGAGATTATGTTTCTTAAAAAGGAAACTCCCAATGTTCCAATGCTAAGAAATTATGAAGAAACTTTGGCCCTATTTAAGGAACAGGCTGAATACGGTCTGTTTATAATACAGGTTACAAGCATGCACAGAGCACACCACAGTTAGCACAAAACGAGCAATCACCAATTTTTTATATTGTCCTTTCACAGTTTTATGTCTGCCATCAGAACTATCAGTGAAAAAGGACGGTCAATTATGGTGCCAGGTACCGCAAAACAGCATCACTGTCATGTTTACACTGTGCTGCGTAATGCACAGCTGTGGAAAGTATGAAAGCGCATCAAGCTTCGTCACTACAAATGTGTCAAAAATGACGACAACATTAGAAATCAAAGAGCAGAAGCATTCAGCCACAGTTCCAAAACAACTGCCAGTATGGTTCAAAATTACTTTAGACATTTGTCCTGATATCCTTAATGAACACACAGTCTGTCGCAGAGACAGCGCAGAATAATTAAAATGACCAATAAGGGTGCCATGGCCGGGGCAATCATGAACTCGGCTCAAAATATTGCTGCACTGCTGCGACTACTTTGGGAAAGCCACAGAAATTCTGCTGCAAGGTCACACTTATAGCTTAAAGATACATACCATAAAGCCCCGCAGGTAGTACGAGCTGTCCCGTGCGTCTTCTTTCCCACAAGACACGTGGAACCCTACTATAGCCGTTTACGGAAGGAGTGCAGCAAATGACTAGGTGCTGATTGCATTCTAGCTTGGAACTTCTACCTGAGCTGGGGTTCAACTGAAGACCCACGGGCTTTGTTCATAAAAGGCTCATACTATCTGATGGTCTTTGTGGTATTCAGTTGTCAACTCAACTGGTCCCAGTTGGTCACTGAGCCGGTCCAAATTGAACCTTTACTGGTTTCCACTGATACCCAATTGAGACCCGCTTGTTCCAATTGGAGCCAGTTAAAACTTCAACTGGTCCCAGTTGAAAATCTTTATCAGGGTAATGGTGACAATATATACAGCATGGTATGTTCAATTAACTCTGGAATCATCTAATGTCATGGCCAATATGGAAGTGCATAGAATTAAGCATGAAATTCTGTATACTATCAGTGTCACCCAGCAAATTACTTTGCAAAGATTGACTCGCACTGGGAACAAGACATATGTGGTGTCCAACACTGTTTCATCTGCAGTGGAATGATCGGGACCACCAGCTGCTCTTGGCATGTTAAGATTCCGCCTCTACAATTGCAGAACAGCATTTTGGGTCAGTTATTTGCTGCATTATGATCACTACCTGGGACTGCAGGATTTTCCCCAGCTTTAAAAACCTGACATCAGTATCTCAGGTGCAATTTGTGAAACACTAATTTGGTGGCACTGACAGTACTGTGCACCATGCTTTGTCCCTGTAACATCCATAGTGGTTGCAGCAGTACATCTTTTAGGGAATACCAGGATGTAAAAAAAAATGCCCAGGTGACTAACTATCAAACATTTTACAAAAGCAAGTGCGAGCCAGCAATGTGCAATTTGTTAGTTGTTTTTCTTTATGTGTCAAGCGTACTGGTGGTAGCCTCAGCCTAGTGCAACTTGCAGGGTGCTAATGTAACTGCGTTGCCCGATCACTGTAAATTGCCATCAGATTAAAAGCCTCACTGGAGGCAAGATAACAAAAGTAAAAAAAGTACAAGGTGCTTGGAAGAAAAGAGAACCATGATCTACTCACTGCAAAAGTGAACTAGTGAGCATTGGCAAACGCTCCGTCTTCGCCCAAATGTAGCACTGGCAGTTGGGACCAGATATTAAAGCTTCAGAACTTACTGTTATCTACTGATTAAAAAATTATAAGCTATTTTTGAAGTTTTTAATGAGGAAACAGGACCTGTTCTTGGTAAAAGGTGCTATACATCTTCATGTTCCAACAAGCATCATAATCCGCCATTTTTGCATTGAAAATATATGAAAACTGCTTTTCAATTTTAAATCAGATAACGGTAAGTTCAGAAACTTTGGCATCTGGTCCCAAACAATAGCACTTCGTTAGGGCGGAGACTGAGCTTTCGGCATTGCATGCAGGTAGGTTATTTTTGCGGTAAGAAAAACATTGTTCTTTTCTCTCTCATACAACTGGTAGTTTCAAAATTCGTCAATGCTTACAAGTAACCTTATTTGAAACCATATAAGTATATTTATAAATGTGCATGCTCTTCCTCATGTACTGTATCCCTATAATTTTGCTTTCATTATAGGCTGCAAGACTGAGATTTCAAAGTGAAGGGCAAATGAAACGCACACATATAAAGATGCGATAAGAAACCCGCTACTGATGTCAAAGGCCACACCCAATATATGCAATGACAATGACTGTCAAACTTGACAGAAAGAAGAAAAAAGTGTGGCTACTTGTTGCAACACTACACAGGTAAAGACACAGCAGATCACAGAGCACTCCACAAGACGATGACACTTCCTGACTCACCTGGAATCCCTTATCCTGGGAGCCATGCAAAGTGAGTACATGAAAAACCACAAGTCAAGGGGGGGTTGTCAGAAACACTCTTGCTTCATGCACAACCCCTCACACACACACATACACACACTCAATCTGGAGGTATGCAGTCCACGAAGACACCCTAACATGCGGGGTCATGCAAGAGCCCACTGAATGAAAGCTGGCTGCAGCTTTTGCTTCCCACACACCAAAAAAGAGAGCGAGGTTTAATCCCATTCCAACCTGCTAGCCTAAATCATGCAAGACCATTGACATATTTCTTCCCAGGCAGGACGTGAAAACAAGGTTGTACATCACGTGAAGTAAATGACATTTAGAGCTTAATCACACAATGAACCAAAGAGGTAGGTGTCACTCGATACTATTAAGATTATAATCAGCATTACTACACTTGAGGTGTTTTGATTAACTGTCGAGAAGGTTGAAATTTATTTTGTGACAAAACAACAAGAAGTTATGTAGTTAGGTGGAACTATTAGTACATTATAAGAAGGGAGTTTAACGGATGAATCTTGATTATTATATGATCATTAAAATCTGCTGCAAGCATAGCTACTTGTTGAAGATATCAAATACAATGTCTTATTCAATGATAAAAAATAAATCTGAACTGAAAACCCGACAAGTCGTGGTAAGGTTATGAAAAGACGCTGAAAAAGTTATAAAATTATCTAAAAAATATGTGTCTATGCATTACTTATACTGTGGGCCCATGCATGTCTCATGAAATAAAATACTGAAGCCATCCAAAATAAAGTAGATCGATTTGCAAGGTTCATTTTATCTTAATAGTACTGACAAAAACAGTCTTCGAAACTGAAATTACATGATGTCTCAAAATGGTATGGCTGGGCGTCGATGAAAAGTTTAACCGATTAATCGCCATCCTTTAATTGATTAATAATCCGTTAATCGGTCTCGTTCATTTCATGCGTAATATCTTTAAAAAAAGCCAAAATTAATACTACTTCTTTTTTTTTTTTGCTATTGCTGAATATGTGGTAAATGGTAAAATATACAATTTTGATTATGAATTAACCTCGATTTGTAGTTAAGAGCATGTTGAAAGGTATTGACACTTGCAGATTATTACTTCTGCTGCATGAGGCAAAGAGCTTCGCAGATATTCTCCGGCATGAGCGACCTCCTTTGATTAATATGGCAATTTGGGCCAGTTGGTACATGATCGTAGACAACCGCCGAAAAACACAAGGACAAGAAGAGACCTAAACACTGGCACACTCGCAACTACATTTACTGAAAAAACGAATCTCTTATATAGCCGTGAAAAGACCCTTCGTCCCGACTAGGCACGGTGTACACCCGTTTTTAGAAAATCAAATTTAAAAAAAAAAATCAAATTTGTTTATTGTTTACACTAGTCTCTGCTGCGCTAAACGGACACTCGAACGGCGTTGAAGTGGCCGGGACACGTGTAACCTTCTGCACCTGAGAGGAGTTACGAATCTTGCCTTTACAGTTCACCTTAGGCAGCATTTTTTACCTGAAGTATGCCCTTCATACAGGTGTACTTGTCTACGTCTGATTGGTGAAAGCAAGTAATTTTTACTTTGTTTTGGTTCGTGAAACGTTGACCAATTAACCAGTTAAAAAAATTAATCGCAATTAAAGCATTAATCGATTAATTGATAGGTTAATTGATCATTTACCCAGCTCTACAAAATGGTGTAATTAAAGACTTTCTTGGGTGCCTAGATTCAGAATAGTTATTTTCACACACCTGTGGCCATCAACAAGAACTACACATATTTTGTGCACATATTTTTCTGCATAAATTAAAAGCAAACTGATGAAAGCATAACCCTTCTGTAAAGCTGCATAACAGCTATAGAAATAATCTGATATATTTTATATCAGACTATCTTGTTCTAGTCTCAGCATCGTTGCATGGCAAAGTTGTAGAGACCTTAGAATACAGAGCTCAATGTTACAGTGCTCAATGTTATCTGTGAATGCTACCAGATCCATACAAACGGAGAGCCTATTTAGTTTTCCTGGCACTTTACAATTACCCACAAAATCTAAATTCTATACAGACACCATTTTGCCTTGAATGCAAGTTGTCAAAAGTTGTGCCATTAGACTAAAATACTGTTAAGAAAGATTATCTTTTTTTTTTTTTTTTCAAATTACACCATTAGTGGAACTAGACAGTATGTCTGAACTAGCTCGTGACACGCTGATTCAGTACCAAAATACCTCTTCATGCATACTCCCCTGTAATTCTACAATACATCAATACCACAAAGATTTAACCGACAATGTGAAGCTATCCACAAAACTGAAAAACATATTACACAACAACACATTGCTTACAAACAAGCCCGCACTTGCCCACACCGGCTGTGGGCACTGCTCGTGCGCAGAGACCTGAGATCTGCATGAAATGAAGCCTCTGCGCACGTGCAGTAGAGAGCCTATATTGCAGTGAGAGTGTGTCTCGAACCGTGAGAAGCGTATGCAATTTAATGGCAGACGTCTGCTGCGGAGATTGGTATCAAGTGTGCACGTGCTGCATTTCGCGTGGCGAGAAGGAAAGCAGGAGGAAAGGCGTAGTTGTTTGCAGACGAACAACGCTTTTGTCCCTTCCTCGCAGCTCGTATTGCAAACGTGGCCCATGAACCATGTGATCCCGATCGAGCAGTTGAACAGTCTCTGCAATATAGGCTCTTTAATGCGCAGTACCGACAACAGCGCCCCCACAGCAGCACATCGGAGAGCTGAGTTGGCATATAGTTTTCAAAGCCTTTATGTTAATAAGCGATGTCAGCGAAGCAAGGAAAGAGTAAGCGTGCGAGGTGCATCGTGTCGAAGCAGTCAAAAACAAAATACAAAGAAAAAAGAAACTCATGCCAGATATGCTGTCTGACTTTTAAGAGAAGTAACACTTTTGAATACGCACAGAATTGACCGCAAAAAAATAAAAGCTGCACACAATTTCACCTCTCATTCAGTCACTCCACAAAAGTAGTACTAATCATGCCACAGCTACGGTCAAAGCTGTTACTCAGAAATAAATTGAAGTATACCGTACCACTCTATAACCCAACTGCTACAAGCGAAGGGTCAGATCGGATGAAAACGCAAGTTTATGAATGCAGACTCTCTGTAAGAGCTATTTCATTTGTTTTTTCCATAGCCCAAGAATACTACGGCACTACAGTTATAGTAAACAGCATACAGCGCAAACCACTTATAACGATACCATATACAACAATGTTTTGCTTATAACAACCAGCTTCTAGGGTTTCTGGACTAGAAACGAGGAGTTTCTAGTCTAGATACAACGATAATCAGTTCTAGCGATTGAATTTTAAAATTTTCTCATTACTATTGTTGCAAGTGGATTGCACTGTAGTAGTTTATTTTTACCACCAAATGAGCCGTAGTCCATCCCGCAAAACATTAACTCATAATTCAGAAATAAGGTAGGTGTACCTCGAGTCTGGTTCACCACTAAGGTGAGCAAAAATTCGGAGAGATTCTATTGAGAGCTACTCTAGCAAGTTTGAAAGCTGCCTAGTTGCTAGAAAATAAGGCAACCTTATTATGAACAAAATGCGCTAAAAGAATATAGAAACACAAAGGCCTTGTTTATAAAACAGTAACCTCATTTTCGAGAAAAGTCAACGAGTCGGATCGTGCTAGAGAATTAAAAAAACGGGGTAGTCACAAAGACCTGCCGAGCATGCGCCAACATTAAAAGAGATGGCACAAAAACATTCCAACGTCAGACGTCGTCATGCTACAGTCGTCGTTGTTTCGTGCCACAAGCCACGAGGTTAGGAAAAAGAGTAGAAGAAAGAAGACTTACGGTTCGCAATGCAACGGGGATTCCGTTGATAGTGGGGCCGATGCCCTCGTATTTAGGGGGTGCCTTAATCGTGGTCTGCACCCCGGTCGAGACCTCCTTCGAGGTGGGCATGGCGTAGTATGTGTCCGTGTGCACTCGGTCGCCGTCGAGGGTCACTCGTTCGTCGTAAACGTATGGCTCGTTCGGTCGGCCGAACCGTCGGGGCGCCGGGATTTCTGCAAAAGGGTACGCCAAATTTTATTTCGTCAACGATCGAAATTCGATGCTGCAAAGGATGAAGAACTTCCATTGAACCAGTCGGAAAACAGAACAGTACTTTCGTTGCACCCGACAAAATCGTCGTATGCAAAATAAGCATGCGGGTTGGGAAGTCTCGGAGTAGTCCTTTATGTACCGAGACTCGTGCCGCGACTTCCAACGAGAATGCAACTGAACGTCGCTGTGGTCGCACAATTTCTTTCGCTATAATCTAATGCAAGTTAAGAAAATCAGGACAAGTCCCTCCCACAAATCTCTTTGCCTTCCGTGGTTGGTGGTTTCCTCCTCTCCACGCCAGCATTTGCTTTGCTAAAATGGCAAGAGTGGAGGGCTTTGTGGGAGGAGACTATAGCCAATGGGGGTGAGGCACCAACCATGAGGGAACCCTGCCATGATCCGATATCAACAAAAAAAAAAAAAGAAAACTTGCTCTAGCACTCCTGCCTTCCCCCCCCCCACCCCCAAACCCCCTTCTTTTTTTCTTTAGTGAACCACCTTAGTGTGGAACTTTTGACCAATTAAAAGTACTAAAACGTTTTTGAGTTCTTGTTATCCCGTTCTTGGACATCTGGGACAGCATTAAACCGTTCATTACAAAACGGCTGCGTAGCATTTTAATAAACCAAATTATTGAAGAAATAGAAAAAAAAAGGTCTTTAGGAGAGTGTAACCGGTAACCAAAACCGTAAAAATTAAAACTGTAAAAAACCGAAACGAAACCGATATCAACAGGAAACGATAACCGTAACCACAAAACGTTTTTCGGTTTGAGTCCTTGTTGTGAACAGAGCTCTCATGGGCACTCATTCTGTCTTGCCTGTCTAGAAGCTCAGACAAGCAAGTTGAGATCTGAAAATTGTTAACAGCCACAGATGGATAACATGTGGTGCAGGGCCCTCACCTTTAGAATCAAAGTTGTGGTCTATGTAAAGGGCTCCCTTTGGAATCTGTCCTTCTGCAAACAGAACAAAATTTAAAGTTAGATCTGTAGAACAAAAAGATGAAATATGTGGAGAAGCAGTAGCCTATAAAACTTCCTTCTTACAGAACCAATGCATGTCTGACACTGTCTACTCGGCTTTCATTCTACTTTAGGAGCCTGAGGGGAGCATTCTGAATCAACATATACCCTACGCACATTCTTTTCATTCCTTCCACTCATTTGTGACAATGGGAAGAAGGCATGAAAAAGGAAACAAAGCTGTTCACTTCAAGGTGCACTAAAGATATTTCTGGGATCGTCTGTTCTTGGTGATAACTTAACCTGCAGCATCTTAGTGCCCCAGAAATCGAAAAATTATGCTTGCGCATCGTCTATTTCCCCACTAAAAATGTGATTGAAGATTTGGCCACGCCCCTTTCTGAGCAGTAAAATCTAAAGCACAGAATTTAGCGGAACTGTCGGCAGCGCGGTGCGGGCACGTGTCAGCCAGTCGCAAGCCGCCTTTCCGAGAGAGGCGGCTTACAATTGGCTAACGCGTGCCCGTCGTCGCGCTGCCGGCACTTTTGCTGAATTCTGTGCTTCCACCAAGGTGAAGAATAAAAATCAAGGTGATTTAAATCGTGATTTGAATCAGACCAGTTTTATAATGATGATTTAAATCAAACCTTTTTTTGCAAAAATATTTTTACATATTTTTTTATTTAACGTTTCTTTTTATGTGATTATGTGATGCTCCCTATGTGCATTCGTTTTGTATTTAAATCAAGCAATCATTGAGGAAGAAAGACCTCTATCAGGTTGAATACGAGCACAAAGAGCAGTGGTCTTTTGAACAAATCAGAACATTGAGCTTTATTTCAATATTTCACTTCATTTGTCAGTTACGTAGTGTCCTATCACAAGCAAATAAGAACGCAAAAAAAATAAACTAACGCTAGAAAAGTAATGTCCTATTGCAAATAAATCTGAATGAAAAAAAAAAAAAAAAAGTAAATACCGTATTTACTCGCAGAATGAACACACTTTTTTTTCCGAAAAATCGATGCAAGGTTAGGGGGGGGGGGCGTTCATTACGCGAAGTAAAATTGTTGCGTCCATATTTACTCGCATAATGAACTGAACCGACCTTTTATCATGAAAAATCGACCTAACTTCTTATCTCTTTGGGCATGGCGCGCGACCCCCTAACCAAACTGGGCTGTGCAAAAAAGAAAAAAAAGCTCCTCTTGTTTTCTTTTTTTTTTCTTAATTCCTCGAGTTTTTCTTTTTTTTTTTTTTTTTTTTTGCAGCCTGCTTTTTGCAAGCTGTTTCGTTTGCTTAGGCCAGGGCTTTTCAGCTTATCTTTCTTATCTCCTTGCGCGCAGCGCGCGCGACGCGCGACCCTCACCCCCTTTAACCAAACTGGGCTGTGCAAAAAAAAAAAGAAGAAAAAAACCTTTTTTTTTTTCTCTTAGTTCCGTGGCTTATAAAAGGAGGAAAGGAACATTGAGTGGCTCTAGATGAGCCACTGAATGTTCTTTGCATTTATTAATATTCTTTGTATTCCTTTTTCCTTAAAAAAAAAAAAAAAATTTTGACAAAAAAAAAAGTAAAAAAAAAAACAAAAAAACAATGTGCATGGAATGTTCCCACGAGAGGTCTGAACTGTAGGGCGAAATGCAAGGTTTGGTTTTTGCTAGGGTGCTTTATATAGAGTTGCCCGCAATCCATACAGAGAAGAGAGGATACCGATCCACCAATCCATGAGCGGATTTATATAGACTCGCCTGCTAGCGAGCGGGTTCTTCCTCGATTCGGTTCATATGCTAGGACAGCCATGATTGGCTAGGACAGCCAACCATGTTTCGGAAATTCGATACTATGGGAACTTTAAGCGACTTTGGGCAACGTGTCATAATGAGGCCGTAGCGCCCAACTTTCTACGTCGTCTACCGGAGGCAAACGTGGAACAAAGATTGGACAAAAGTAATGCGTCAGTGTCCGGCTAGGACTCGCATCCTCCCCAATTGGACGAGAGTCTCAGCAGATTGCTGATGTGGCATTGGTGTCCAATCTACGATGTGATGTTTACATCGTAGCTCCCAAAAAAGATTTACAAGGTTCTTTTCACCTCAAAAATAAACTATGCATCGCTGAACTCTCGTTCTCCAACCTAATGTAGCACTAGCGGTGCAAACCAAATGTCAAAGTTTCGAGAACTAAACGTTATGTCATTCAAAAATTACAATATTTTCTGAAAATGTTAACGGAGAAATGGGGCCCGTTTTTGTCCCGCTTTCAGTAACTGGTGCCACTTAGCTACACGAATTCGAGCCCCATCGGCTGCCATTTTCCCATCGAAAATTTCAGAAAATCACTTATAACTATGGAATAAGATACCTGTTAGTTCTGAAACTTTGGTATTTGGTTCAGATTGATAGTGCTACATTTGGGCGGAGAGGGAACGTACGACGACACATAGTTAATTTTTACGGCGAAAAACCTCCCTAAACCTTTTTCTGGAGGGAACACCCCGTAGAAGAACTTTAGCCCTACGACCTCGACACGTAGGTGGTGTTGTTGAATGCACGGGGCACCCATTTTGAACATGCCGTTAGCAGACAACACTTCAGATTTGGCACTTCGGGATCGTTCAATGGATTTAGGTCCATCCACGTTTCCGGATGCTCCAAAGAGCCCTTACCCCGTGCCTTCTGCAGGAGCGTGATGGTGGGACTCTGCGAGGGAGGAAGCCCCGAGCCTCCAACGCGCAGCTTGGCGAAGCCAGACGTGGGGGAGTCGGAGCCGTTGGTAGTCGCCGGCGGGCTCGAGGCGGGACCCAGGGTGGGGCTGGCCGGCGACGGAGGCACTGGAGGGGGCGGCAGGGGCTTGCTGGCGGCCGGCTTGGTCGACGGGGCGCCCTCCGCAGGCTGGTACTGCTCCTTAAGCTCGGACACGATCGGATTCCACGAGGTCCGCAGCGCCGCTGAGGGCGACGGCGGAGTCGTCGGCGAGGAAACTGCGTCGTGGGACTGCGGCGGGGAGCAAGAACAGCGCTTCGTGTCTATATGCATTCTGGTAGGACTGCTGTCTCCTATGCCGACAGCGTGCACCTTGGTGGCATCTTGTACCACTTTGTCGATAGTATCTCGCACCCCCCGTTGCCTGCTGGGCCATACAAAATAGTGACCACTTTAAACATTTAACCGCCGCCACTGTGGCTATGTTTGTGACGGTAGTAGGAACGTTTAGGAAACCTCCGAGCTTCCGCCAAAATTTAGGTCTCTTAAACAGTGTTCCCAGACTTCTACATAAAATTTCGAATGATAGGAAAAAGCTTACTCATGCCGTTTTTTGTTTTAAATTATAAAAAATAATTACCGATGCTTAGGCAGTATAAAACCAAGCAAATCTACTTCTAATGAAACAAAATGTTCAGTTGGGCTAGGTGGAAGGAGGTAACGAAAACACAGAGCGCTCCTAATGATTTAGTCAGCTATTTATTGCGGAACGATAACTCTGGTAAATATTGTATTCCCCCCTGAGCCATGCGGCATCAGCTCGTTTTCAATTTCCGCGCATGCGTGTAATGTAATTAACAAACTTCAGTTCATTTTATGCCTGAAAAAGTCAAGCCTGGTCAAACTTGAACCTTTGCAGGTTTGCAGCATCCCTAGCCGGCGGCAGCATGAAATGGTGATGAGCGGATTTAAGAAAGAAGCCCCCCCCGCCCCCCCACACACACACAAGCTCTCTAAGGTCAACTTGTTTTAGTAATGAAAAAAAACCGACCTATACTGGCATTTTTAAGGAAGAAATGTTTAGTTTTTGGTGACATAGCAAATATTAGGTCAACAAAATAGACCTGAAAAATGCTTTGCCTATGACGTCACCTCTCTGCCCGAGCCTGATCCATAAATCCAACCTTGGAAAGTGGCAATCTTAAAGTTGAATGTTAAAGGGATACTTCAATAAAATTTGAAATATACCTGTCGTGTTCAGAAATAGGCTGAATATGATCCAGAATATCCGTAAATGACAATCGCACGTTTGTATTTTGAGCCTGATGGCTGTATTTTTCGTTATAAACGGACCATTCTGGCAAGCGCTCGGAGAGTAGCCAGCGGAGAGCACATGATATCCGCTGCAATTGTGACATAGACTGTCTCGGGACGGGACGAGCAAAGCTGCAACGAGGCTGACACCAATAGGATGTCCTAGCCGTTCCAGCCACCGAAGCAGCTGAAGCACGTCAGCGATCAGGCCACCGCAACTAACCCCAAAGCTGCTTTTGTACGCATTTTGAGTGACGGGCTAATCGTCTAAAATTCTGTGGAGGGACAATAGCGATGTCTTGGACACACAAAAGAGAGCCTCGGGGAGAGGGGAGTTCTTTCTTCCCCTCTTCTCTCATGCTAACCGGAGGCGAGACAGTTATCGTCACTACCTGTCAAGGTTCCTAAACGAGCATTACAAACGAGGTGTTAGCGACATCCACCAGGCGCTCTTTGCTAATTGCTTAATTCGTTTTAAAATTGCTTTCTGAGTCTTTTTCGAAAAGAGATTGGTGCGTCTGATGTGATACTGCTCTCTTGAACACGAATAGACCAAGAAACAAGCACCAAAATTTCGTTGTAGTATCCCTTTAAAGCCATTTAGATGTTTCAGGTAATGAACATACTCAGCGTATTCGCAAAGTTATGTTTTCACGCAAATCTATATGACCATACATTTCTCCTGTCAATATACACACTTGTGCAACCGCCCATAGGTGCTGCAAATTGATGGGCATCCAAGAATCTGTCCCAATTTTCGCGGCGGTACTGCTGCACGTGCTCTGGGGTGTTTTCGCCCACTGGCTGGGCTTCTGAACAAACATTGCAGGTTAGTGGCTCTGTATTTTAAAGAAACGCGAGACCCGGAGATAATTGTTTTCTTTTCTGGCAATTAGAAACCTGGTAAATCTAATTTAAATGTTTCCTTCAGTAGGGATGCTTTTTGTTTCTTTGCGACGATAAAAAACCAACATTTGAAATCTTTTTTGATACCTACGGGAATACAGCAAAATTATTTTATTTATTTAAAACAAATTCCAGTGACCTTTATCTTGACGGTCTCGTAATGCACGACGTACAGCATTTAAAGAAGCGATTGTTTAAATTTCTTTAGAAGTTATTAAACTGCCATTTTGGCGAGTGAAGAATGTCCTATTAATTTCCCAGATAAATATAGCGGAAAAATTGACGTCACGACCTTGACGTCACATCATGAAACCAGAACTCGACACCGTGACATCACAGTGCCACGTGACCTGACGTCACGTGATGTCAGGGCACGCTACGTTAATTTCCCCGCTAAATTTACTGGAAAAGTGAACTGAATGGACAGTTGGACCGATTTGTGGGATAAAAGGGTTCCGTTTTTATTTATTTTGTGATAAATAAAATTAAAGTCCGATGAAGCAAGTCCTCACCTGAGGTTTATTGGCCTGGGTCAGGTGTGCCACGGGCGAAAACTTGACGGGCCTGTAACCGGGCCGATCGTCATTCTTTTCTGTGTGCTGCTGCGTATCGTTGATCAGCCTGGTCTCTTTCACAATGCCGTTGGACTGCTCCATGCTGCTTGCACTCTGCCTCTGGTTAGACGACCAAGGACTCCATACTGCGCACAAAGAAACGAAGAAGTTAGGAAACTTGATGCTGAACATGCAATCGATTATATTATTGCAAAGATACAAAAAACTGCGAGCACATAGAAATCGAGAGCTTTTCAATAAGATTTCAACACAGATTGAACGAAGCATTTCAAATAAAATCCTGCGATTTTAATAAAAAAATTTATTGAGACTTGCATTTTTCATTTACATAAGCAAAAATTAATTTTGTTGGGCAAAGCAAATCATTTCCATAAAAACTCGTGGAAATGGAGCGTGCTGGTTAAGTTACGGTCGTCCTGTTTTCGTCCTCTATGTTATTCTCCACAAACACCGTTTCCATAAAACATTACTGAAGTTACAATCTGCAGCTGCAAACTTGGAAGTCGTACTTTTCCTATAAACCATTCTTCGAAAACAAAAAAGAAAGAGGGACAGATAGAACAATACATACGTGTGTCGTCTGTATTTTCGCAAGTGTTCCTCTTTCGTTTTCGTATTGTAGTTACAATTAAACAAGCTCAATATTCCAAAAAGTTCTTCTGATGACCTTGGCAACTTACAATTTCAGCTCCATTCACGCGAGTGTATACATATATCGAGCGAGTACGCACAGAGTTTTAATACTAAACGCCAGTCCGACCGCAAACCCCACAATTCAGATGATTATTTAATATATATTTTTCTGTGTAAGCTTGACAATTTCGCCGGCGTTTGGGGGGCACGAACAGGAATCAGAAAGCCACAGACCCGAAGAAGCCAGCCACGCGAGCAGCGAAAGCTTTCCTCAAAAACCTCTAGAGGTTATCGAAGTCACCGGTTTATTGCGCAATTTCGATTCTGCTGACACTGCGCTCAAAATCCCTGTCGCTTCCGATATCGTGTGACTTGGCGGCCCTGATAGCACGTGCGAGAGGACATAAACAACTGCCACCCACACGGGATGGAGGGAAGAGCGCGACACACGTACACACGCGCAATTTGCACGAAAGCCGCGTACGCACCAGGATAAAATCGCCGCTCGAGATCTGGCGGAACTGTCGAGCCACTTATCGGCCGCAGAGACCACGGGATCGCTTCAACGCACGCCCGAAAACAGCGCAAAATGCTCACCCTGCGGAATGCTCAGACGCGCAGTTGGTGCCAGATTGCTTCAGCTACTGTTATGCAATTATTAGCGGACCACCTGTTGTGGTACAGGCCCATCACACGTCAAGCAAGAAATCGCGTCAACGCGTCTACGCCGTCTACGCTACGGCCACTACGGCTGTGCATACCGTAGAGGCGGAAACCGCTGGCTTCGGAGATGAGAGCAGAGTCAACTCAGTCACGTCAACCTTCTTTCTGGTTTAGGAAAAGAAGTGAATCACGTGAGAGATCAGATGACGCGTAGGCGCCATGTTGTATCAGAGTGGGAGGTTTCGAAACGACCAGAGAGATTTTGCATTGAAATGAAAATGGGCGTTAAGATAAATGAGCAGGAACTTGTTCCCCAAAACCTTATTCGAAGCAACGACGTTAATTTGTGGTTTAAAAAAATGTTCTGCCGTGAAATAATGAAGTCGCCGATAAATTATTTTTTAGACGCGCGTTTTATTTTTTTTTCGAAGCACAAGTTTGTCTGCTTCTTGCACAGGGGCTGCGATGATGTCAGAAAAAAATAGTGGGTAGACGTTGAGTAATCTAGCATTGAAGTCTGCCCACTATCGTTCCAAACAAAGCCAATCAGAGCTCGGTGTCGTTCTGACGTCACCGAAACTCCGGCGCAAGAAGTAGACGACTTGCTCTCCGCGTTGAAACTTGATTTATTTATCTTTTAACTAAAAATAAATATTAGAAAACATATAAAAAATAGGTATTGTAAGAATTCCCCTCCAGTTGAATATACAAACCATGTACCAATTATATAATTTATTTTTCTGCACCCGGTTAAAATACTATATTAGAGCAGATCACCTGCATCATTTCTTTTAAAACAGACAACCTCGTCTTCTTAGCGCATAATTCTTCATAATTCCAATAAAAGCGAAAATATATCAAATATGATCAAATTAAAGACACAACCTGCACAAAATGGGTAGATTACGGTACCATACTCGCGAGAGCGAAAATAAAGCTTTTCGAGAAATTTCAAGGAGCATGCGTCCAGCTTCCGAGGTCCCGCATGCAAACGGCAGGAACTTCACACAAGTTCACACTAGTAGTTCAGGCTACACACGAACTTGTAATTTTCCAGCGTTGATAAAATGATTCTACAAAATTGCTGCTACATTGAACTCAAACTTATAATTGTCAACCAGCATAGTAAAAATTATCGCTCAGTAAATATTTAAACGCATGAACAGTAGGTACTTCCTGTTACTATTTGGAACAAAGGCGTAGACTTTGGAGGGGGGGGGGGGGGGGAATCG